AAGTGGGCAATCAGCTACCCCCAAACCAAGAAGGGGATATCCTCCGTGACCAAGCCAGTTAACGGGAGACCAACACTTGGTATATATAATACAATCAATTATTTTGGCCTCTTTTCTTCCTTTTATTGAACTAGTGCACTCCGGTTTGAACAAAAACCAACACTGTTCCTATTACTGCATGTTTTTCTCTAACTAATGAGTCCACACTTGTTTGCAAGGACACTGGCCTTTAATCCTCATATCTATATTCCCTCTCAGCATTTGTTAAGACAAAAGCACTTACTTTATTAGTGCAGATTTAAAAGAAAATGATTAAGGTTGCCAAAACAAAATATACTGAAATTGTGTTACAAAATGTCTCTATTTCAATGTAAAATTTATTCACAGGGTATGTGCAATTCTTACTTAGGGCCATTCTGGAAAAAAGAAACAGGTTTCCTTCCTACAGATTGCAGGACACAACAGTCTATTTTTCCAGGATATCCTGCCCGACACTTCCATTAAACCTAGTAAAAAGGAACTGGTGAATTCACTGACATCAAGATATATATTGAAATCATATAGGTGTCTAGGGTGTGAACTGAAATCAGTTGTGCCTGATGTCTTAAGGTCTATTGTATTCGACTGTTTGAATCTTGCGACCTGTCCAGATGGTAAATGTTTCCAAACTGCAGTCACCACACATGATGTTATTGGAGAGCAATCTTGTTTTCTTAGGCTTCCACGAGTTCATCCAGTTAATATAGTCTTCGCCTTCATGATGTTGGTGTACACACTGTATTCACTATTTTGTCATAAACAGTTTGTATGCAAATCAATTATTTGCCCTGCAGTACCTTTTTTGTGCTAGTTAATTCTTGATTTTATCGCTTGTCTCTCTTTGGGACTGATCACACTTTACAGGTTACTACTATTACACAATGAAGAATTTTCTTTTTCACTAGCTGACAGTTAAAGAGAATGATAAGGATTTGTCAGTTCTATGTTTTTTATCTATATAATTCTTTATTATATCTGTTATCAGCTGTTAAGGAGGTTACAACAAAGTTTCTTTATCATTTTACATTTTATGTATATTTTTACAGATTTATCACAACAAATAACCGATGCTTTACACGTCTATGGAAATTGAAAATGTAATAAAACTGATGTTCTATGCATAATGTCAGAAGACATATAGCCATGTCTCCATAAGCACAGACTAACGAATTAAGGGTACTTCTCTAGAGGCCATATACCGGTGTCTCCGTAAGCACAGACTAACGAATTTAGGGTACTTCTCTAGAGGCCATATACCGGTGTCTCCGTAAGCACAGACTAACGAATTTAGGGTACTTCTCTAGAGGCCATATACCGGTGTCTCCGTAAGCACAGACTAACGAATTTAGGGTACTTCTCTAGAGGCCATATACCGGTGTCTCCGTCAGCACAGACTAACGAATTTAGGGTACTTCTCTAGAGGCCATATACCATATACCGTGTCTCCGTAAGCACAGACTAACGAATTTAGGGTACTTCTCTAGAGGCCATATACCGATGTCTCCGTAAGCACAGACTAACGAATTTAGGGTACTTCTCTAGAGGCCATATACCGATGTCTCCGTAAGGACAGACTAACGAATTTAGGGTACTTCTCTGAAAACAGCCTCAACACATGGATCGAACATTGACGGTATCATGACTGCAGATGTTACTGTGACTGCTGAAAAATCAATTTAGTATTTAATCGGTTTTCCATGAGCATATGATAGGCAAGTGACTTGCATACCAGTCTGCAGTAGGCCTATTCAAAACATAGTCGGGATCGGGATCGTCCCACGGCTGTATGTTGTGCACTGGTGGATTCGTCGTCAATATTCCTGTCTGTCTCGCCGCAAGAAATACTTTCAAATTGAAAAGGTTGTAAGTATGTGATATTATCTGTATCTGGTATGCCATTAGAATCCAGGTTTGACTTTCTGAGTTTATTTATTTGCTAAACTAGAAGCAGACCTCAGTAAGCGAACAAGCTCGCTACCTCTGGATTTTCCGTGTGTTGATGTCGCGATTGTCCGGTATGACGTCACGCGATGACGTGACCGTGTACCTCCTTATCTTGCGAAATCGCGAAATGCTTTTAGATTCCTATAACAAGCTGTAATGAAATAGTATTGTTTCAAACTGTATTTTGTGTATATTATATATACCCAGGGGTTCATTAAGAGCGAATATAAACAATGTGCAGAGACCTTTTTTAAAAATCCTTTAAGAGAAAGCGATTTAATAATGCGATTACGCTCCCACAAACCTTTTTGGTCCACCCAATGACTGTACGGAGTGTAACCTTCTGCCCTTGAGTCCTATTTTTTGTAATCTGAGGCCATGTGAGCTAAGAACAGCTCTGTGAGTTAGTTTATGGATGATTGGGTGGGGAGTGAGTGGGTAATTGAGTGGATGAGTGAGTGAGTGAGTGGGTTGGGTATTTGGGTGAGTGAGTGAGTGCATCGATGTTTATAAAGCCAATCACTTGATTGATTATTGACACATCACAGTCATATTGAAAACAAACAAACAAAAACAAGTGATTTTCTTTGCTTTGAACTTGCATCCAGAGTTTACGGCACTGTGTCACACGTATCCCAAACAGAAAATCATCCAAACAGTTTTCGACCAGATTGGTTTGTGATTTGGTTGTGATACCCCATTCTGAGAAAGAATTTGGATTTCTCAAATAATTCACAAGAAATAGAGCAGCCTAAAGGAAGACGTTTGTCAAAAAAGAACATATTTCTGAAGTACATCCATCGTAGATGGAAATCTTGGGTAGCCTAAGTTAGAAAAGCCCCATGGGTAATGCTTGGTGAAACTGTGTGTACTGAACAGAATACGATACATCATCAATGTGATCATTGAACTTGGGGGTTAGAGAGATGATGAATAGTCTTGATATCTTCTGAAACCCTAACAGTGTTGAATGATGTTAAGCAATAGATGATACTTTGAGATCCTTAATAGTACAAGCAGGGGGATGCTGGAGCGTAAGACGCGACTGACTGATGTTATTTGATGCATGTCAATGTATTCTAGATGCACTCGTGAAGATAGGATTCAGAACTGGTCTTCAGCCACCCATGCGTGTCGTCAGGGGCGACTTACGGGTTGAAGGAAAAAAGTCATCAGTAAAAAGTCCCCTAAAAATAAAAAAAGCAGTGGTATTCTATACATTTCTTGTTAGAAAATGAAAGGGGGACTTTTTTCCGAAGACTGTTTTACCTAGGCAAATATAGGAATTTTTAAGCGGTACTTTTTTACCGAGGACGTTTAAACCGAACACCGACTAACGGGATCGGGTGGTCGGGATGGTTGACACATGTTTTTGCATCCCACTTGCGTAGATAGATGCTCATGATGTTGATCACTGGATTGTCAGGAACATTTAATACATTCATTTACAGACCGCCGTCATACACCCAGAATGTTTCTGAGTGCGACATTAAACAACAAGAAAACAAGATAACAAACAAATACTTATGACTCACCACGACACAGGTGTCAGTGACACCTGTATGGGATTCCACAAATATATCTATGCATGCCATCTAGTGAAAGGAGACCCAGTGGTAATCAACATCCACATTTGGTAGTCACGCCTTTGCCTCACATTACCAGTGGGCCCGGAGCACACAACATCTGAACAACAAAAACAAGTAACGCCCTCCAATCATGAGAAAAACATTAACTTGACATATAGGTCACGTGACCCATCAATATTCAGGTCAGTTTCTGGTATATAAATACTCGACAAGTTGTAAGTGTGAGAATAGTCCTCCTTCACAGCGAAAACAGAGTCCACTGTTTACACAGCTGTATTGCATGACAGGGCAGGTAGGTTGCCATGGCTAATATTATTTATATATCATGCTAGTGTACATCTATAGGGGCTATGGTGCTCAGAGGGGATATTTTCCACTTTGGATGCATATTTCGAGCAAATCCCTCGCCTTCGGAGATGCATGAAACAAGCGATGGAGTCAAAACCAGCTTCAAGCTTGATACTGACATGACGTACATGTAGTTGTATCTCCCCCCTTCAGAGTCGGACAAACAAACTAACTCGCTGGGTAAGATAGCATAGACTGTGCTAAGCGATAACTTGGCGTTACGCCTTCAGTCAGCTGGAAAGTCTGAACGAAAGACAAGCTTTAGATTACCGTGTAGCTGACAACCAATACACCGACGGGTATGAACTAGCGACAGATGGAAGTGTAGCTGACAACCAATACTTCGACGGGTATGAACTAGCAACAAATGACAGTGTAGCTGACAACCAATACACCGACGGGTATGAAGTAGCGACAGATGACAGTGTAACTGACAACCAATACACCGACGGGTATGAAGTAGAGACAGATGACAGTGTAACTGACGACCTGTACTCCCACGGGTGCAGCTGACTGAAAGTGTTTGCCACGCAACTGTGAATAACAACCTGACTGATTATTTTAGGGTAAAATATGTCCATGTCCCGACAAGAGATATACTCAACGAGAATCCCATGACCAGCATTGCATCTTTGGTTTATATATATTTATCTTAAATTCATGTAAAATACTTTAATTTCATTGGTCAATGACGCTTTAACAAGTTTCCGTGTCACCCGTCCCAGGAGGGTGATATATGAGGGACATATTTCCCGCTGCCACGGTAACCACCGAGAAGTGGTGACGCTAACAATCGAATGACGTCATAATATGACCCACGAAGTGTACGGAGTTAAAAAATGTATGTATGTATGTACGTACGTACGTATGTATGTATGTATGTATGTATGTATGTATGTATGTATGTCTGTTTTTTGGTAATTTGTAACATCACATTGATAAAGTGATAGTTATTATGGGTCACAATGTTTAAAATTTTGAGTGTGGGGTTTGGCTCGCATCTTGCATCGTATTTTTAGCGGTACGCCTTTTTGATAGCGCTTCAGAGTTGTCTCCCTTGGCTGGTTTATTTTGTTTTGACTTCCGGGTCTTGTCACGTCGTGTGTTCCATGTGGTTCCATGGCGTTCTGAGAGAATAATGATACAGCTTAGCTTTCCTAGAATGCTCGAGAACTGTGTAAGAGCTATATAAAGGCTGGTAGTTGCGTTGTGCGACGGGACTTTTCACATGACTGGATTTATAAACATCTGTCTGCCATCGTCAAGCTGACCACCATATCAAGACTGACCGCGCTTGTCTATTCAACTAATGTCATTGTAAAACAACCTTCAATCAGTATATCTGCTCTCACTGTAAATGTCAAGACTCTGGTGAGTTTATATTTTCTATTTGTGGCCCAATATTGTAGATTTGTGACTCAGTTGCATTGTTGTATTGTCATTCATTGTAGTTTGCTATTGTTTACTCAATATATTATTGAATATATTAAACTTGTCTGTGTTCTGTTTTGCTGGTTCAAAGGGGATACGTACGTATGTATGTATTAGAGCTGTAACGATGCATCGAACTATCGCTATTGTTGAGTCTCCGATAGCTATTAATCGATGGCAGAAAAGAAAAACTATCGATGCATCGACAGTATACGTGACTATTGATAGTTTAGTGACTGACTTCCGTTGATAAATTCGTAGCGCAAAATAAAGGAAGTACCGGATCGGTTCACTTTGATTTAGACTTATCAGCCCAAGTTACCTCTGAAATAAACTTGATCTGGGTTTCAAGTTTCTTAAAAGAGTTATTAAAAGAGACTGAAACTACTTCAGTTTGTTTTTATTTCATATAAACTATACAGTAATTCATTTGGGAAATGAGACAATCAAGGGAGAGAAGAAACTCCAGGGTTTCCATAAACTATGCTTAATTACTAAAGTGCTAATGTGGATAGGCTTCAGTAATGAGGTCAATGATTACTCTGTGTCATTTCATATTCAGCGCCGCCATATTGATTGGATTGTTAAACACTGTGTGCGGTGTTAAACAACAAAGCAAGCAAGCAACCAACCAAAAGAAGGACTGAATATCTGGGTAGAACACAACCATCGGGGTCAGTCACTGCTGACTGTCCAGTAGGTTTAACCAACATACAACAGGACATTGTATTTACTGGATACATAGGTGCTGTGGCATGGACGATAGATACCTCCTCTTTGTGTATGTATGTACCGTTTCCTGGCCGATTGAATACCGCAAGTGAATAACAGCTTGTCGCCCTATATCACACTGGGAAACCGGGTCAGGTTTTACGCTCTATCGCTGTCATGCTGCGTTTTTCACTCACCCGAGAGAACACAAAGAATGCGACCGTAAAAACTACCGTAAGTAGTTTTGTTTTGTTTGACGAGTGGCAGATATGATCACACTGTCCACGGACCTCCTTCAAAAGTTGTGATAGGTCTCCCCACGTTCGGTGCTCGCTTCGACTTCGACATTCCTGAGAGAGTTTTTATATTAAGAATTGTCTAACTTGTACAATGTTGATACTGCTGAAATGTAACTTCGTGGTGACTATTTCCAAGTGACAAAGCAGCTCTACACCACATGAGATGAGCCAGAGAGGGTGAGCCACACTCACTCGATCATTGACTTCCGGTGTGGTCTGTTTGATATTCTACGTGATCAGCCTCCATATATTCTGTATGCGTGCATCGGTGAGTGCGTGAGTGCGTGTTAAATGCGTGAGTACGTGCGTGAATGGTGAGTGGATGGGTGAGTGAGTGAGTGCATCGATGCTGATGATGTCAATTACAGTTTATTATTTCACCACATATAAATATTTCCATTTTCCCTTTATATGAACTAGTTGTTTACAGCCACATTGTAGTTCATATACTTGACCCTATTCGGTAAATAATGGGTGTGGATCAGTCAATACAGTGATTAACACCATGAACATCTATCTACAGACAGACAGACAGACAGACAGTATTTATTCAGTAAAGAGGCCCTCGCCTATTATACAATCAGACTGACACTGTGTTTAGTGCGTGTACAAAACAACTTTTCAGCTTGATGTCTTGGTGTTTATCAATGTCTGTACTTTACAAAAGAGTTACAAAGAGTAAAGAGTAAGTGGTTCTTTAGTGAACTTTGTTATACATTTAGTTCAAAGTATATCATAGGCATTGCAAATAGGTAATACATGATATTCATTTTCTACATAATGCTGATCTCTGGTTTGACAAGAAGGGCACAGTCTTTCGTTATATGCAATTCCACGATACCTGCCACATTCAACCGCGGTATTAAAATTACTGCATCTAAACCTTGAAATATCAATTCTTAAATGCGTAGGGATATCACAACACAAATATCTTTCAACGTTTAACAGTTTTAAACTCCTTATAAAATATACATTCAGGAGAATCACTAACTGATGAGTACCAAGATTGTTTTAAGGTATCACGTAGCCTTATCTTGAATAGATACACAAAATATTCCACATTTCCAATTTCTTGGCCTCGCCAAGCATAAAAACTCCATATTGGAACAGGATGTGTCTAACTTTTGTTACCAGGTAGTATTGCCTAAGCTATCTAATGATCTTGACATTAAATAACATTGATGTTGGAGTCTATTTTGTGCCATATGTATGAGCCTACATCACAATTCGTTCACTCTTGACATGTACAAATGCTGTAATGGGAGTCTGCTACACTCGTCAAGAACCATACCATTTAATGTATCTCTTTTCACCGTTAAGTATTGTTTACAAAATTAAATTTGCACAGCCTCTATTATTTTGGGATGCGATGTTCCCAACATTTCAGAGCCATAACAAAGAACAGGCACAACCACTGAATAAAAAATATTAGGTAGATCAATGCAAACTATGTATACCAATTTTCCTCTGGAAACCATTTAAAGACATTATAGCTTTAGAGGCCTGAGATTCAAGACATGTCTGGGCTTTACTCCAGACAAGCTGGGGTGTGAAAACTGATCCTAAATACCTATAAAAGGAAATCGTTTCAACAGGGCAACCATTTCACATAATGACGAAGAGGCCCCCCCCCAATTTCTTAAGACAATAATCTTAGTTTTGTTTTAGTTAATTTTCATACCTGTACTATTACAAAAGCTTTCCAAAACATTAAATCTCTTTTGAAGCACGTTCCAGATAGTGCCGAAATGTCATCTGCAAACATAAGTGCACAAAAATTTGAGAAACTTTGAATTATGAAGATTCCTTCTCAAAGGATCGTAGCCCTTGGATATCCTAACTTTGATCCTAGGGTCCAGCTGGGCCCCTATTCTCGAAAAGTTCCTAGCCCAAGGATATCCTAACTTTGATCCTAGGGTCTAGGATAGGTGTCCTACCTTATCCTCGAAAAGTATCCTAGCGCTGGGATATCCTAACTTAGGACAAATACTAGGATAGGTTCTGACTTGTCAAAAGTCAACATGGTGTGGTTCTTGTTTGTTCACATTTTGGCATTGTCAAAAAAATAACTCTCCTAAATTACATTTGAATTTTCAACATCACACAGTTTAGATGAGTTAAGAAGAGTTTTTGTGTGTATATTATCAATTTATCGGTGATGAAAAGACACATTTGTTGCAATGCACATATGCTTTAGATCTACAAAAGAGATTTGATCAATTCTTACCTATCCTCGGCCTTTTTAATCACAACATTGCTCTTTTCTGTCACATTGCTGTGAAATCTCAGTGTCAAGGCCAACTTGATAAGAGAAGTAACTGCTGTTTGATTAATAGGCGAAGTTTCACTTTGTGAGATAATTAACACGTAATTGGAGTTCAAGTCATGATTTTCATAAACAAACAAATAAAATGAAAATAGTTTTTGCACAGTTCTAATAGATTTTTGGCAGGCTTTCAAACTCAGAAGACAAATGTTATCTCCTTGTTGAATAAATGAATTTTCAAGAACTTAATTAACTATTAAATAAGTGATGAAAATATCGAATATATTAACATTATTGAAACAACATTTTGTTTCTAGAAATACGGTAATTCGAACACGTTTTTATGGCATTGCCATAAATCATGGGTAATATTTAGGTGAATCCCCAGGTCTAGGTGAATCACTGAAGGTTTTTCTATCTCACCTTCCGAAGAGCTCGCTATCCTAGCTAGGATCGGCAGCTCAAGTTAGGACAGAGATAGGATTGCTTCGAGAATGGGTCTTATCCTAACGGTGAGATGTCCTAACTCCTGTCCTCACTACATAGGATCTGTCTCAGCTGGGACACTTTCGAGAAAAGGCACCCTGGAGAACAAACATTTGATCCACAGTAGAATTACCAGCTCTGAAACCTGCCTGGGTCTCATTTAAGATGTTATTTTCATCACACCAAATTTGTAGGCTTTTGTTAAGAACTGAGGTAAAAATCTTACAGAGTGTGTCAATGAGTGAAATGTCTCTGTAATTGTTTGTGTCATGTATATTTCCTGATTTATGTAAAGGGCATATGATGCTCTTGCCGTAGCTGCTTGGGAAGTGTACAGTATTGAGAATATTATTAAAAAGAAATGTAAGTGGTTTGATAATGTTGACTGTTGCGTGAACATGAAGAGTCCATGTTGCAAGTACTACACTGGGGGGTGTAGTCTTTTTGAGAAGCTGTACTGAGGAGCTCTAAAACGTGTGTTACCCACTGTCCATCTGTGTTTTAGATAAGCCCTGTGAACTCCGGTTTTCCTCAAGTATTTTCCAAAATCTGCCTCTAGAAATCTATCTTTCTGTTTCCCAAAGTACTCATTTTTTCTTTAAAAAAGTTGTCTCGAATATGGATCGTAAATTTCGGAACAGAGAAATGCCCATTTTGTTGTCACTGTGTGACCTTAATGTTGTGTATTTCTGTTGTTTAATTTTGTCCAGTTCATTGTCCCACCAGGGTGGTTGGGTAATATTTCTTTGTTTCATAACTCCAGAGAACAGTCTTTTAGTGTGTTCTGCAGTTTGGTAGAACAGGTTTACTAAATATTGTATAGCCCTGTCAGTGGTACTATTTATCATGGGTGGTAAGAGTTGGATAAACATTCTTATAGGTGTCGGTGAATTTTGTAATGAAATTATTGTCAGTGTCCTTACTCCATAAAAACTTAAACTATTTGGGTTTTTTCCTTTTTGTACTGTGTTAGGTTCATCAGGGATGTTGTGTGTATGTAAGGATGTGGATGCCTTGTCAGAGCTTTGTTTATGACTGTTGATGTCATCTATCTACCCACGCAACTGAGACGTGCTGACATACATCTACCAAGTCAGCCCTGAGTATTGCTCAGGTTAGACAGAACTGTTTACAATGATGTCGTGCCATAATGAGTGGATCAGTTGTTAAAACAAATAGTTGTTTGGAAAACATCAATTGACAGAACATATTAATACATCTATTGTTTAAAATGACGTACATTTGATCTCAAAAAGAATTTTCTTTGCTTTACCAAACTTGGGGAGCTTGAAAATCATTATCCCTCATGCCAACGTATATCATGTTTACACTACAGTGTTCTGTTGCAGAGAGGATTCCGGAATACATATGGCACTTATTCTGGTCTTCGTTGCCTTCTTGGCAACAACTGTTCTTGATGTAAAAGCTGCACAGTGCGCATGTGCTGCCGGCGATGTTAATGTCCACTCTGGTGTGGGAACGAGCCATTCTTTACTTGGCGTCTTGGAAGATGGACACTGCACCATACTCTTTGAAGGTGACTTGAGAGATGGCTGGGTGCGTTTCAACTTCAACTGCAAGGTCGGTTTTCATTATCTACATAATTGTCTTTAGTATGAAGTATTTTTGAGTGATCGAGTATGGTTTTGCGCCACGTTTAGCAATATTCCAGCAATAAGACCAGGGAACACCAGAAATCAACTTCACAACTTGACACAACTTGGGACTCGAACCCGGGTCTTCTGCGTGAAGAGTGAACGCTTTAACCAAAAGGCTACCCCACCCCCCCAAGTATTTGTGACATATTCTCACCCCAAATGCCAACACGATAAATGAGGAAAGACGTCATTGTATACTACGTCGTGCAATCTCTCAGTGAATCTTTGTCCCTTTGGTCTAAAATGCATCGACCAAAGAGCATGTTGCATGTATTTTATAAAGCGTCGTGTGAACGAAGGTCCACAGGCTTTGATTCAAATCTCACATTCGCTCTCCTTTTGTGTGAAAGGTTTGTGCATGAAGAATTTACTAAAATGGTAAAGTCTAAAACTCTTCTTTTTTCTCACACAATAAAGGGTAAACGTCAAAGACTATTGTTTTTTTCTCACTTACGGGTTAAAAAAAAGCATGGAGTCTCAACTTTCTAAATTCCTCAAGAGTGCCAAAATCTTCCGAAATGAGTTTACATTTCAGTGTAACATAAATTTTCCCTAAGCTTTTTTTTGAGAGGCATTTTTGAAGTTGTAAAGATGAAGGAAAACCAAGTTATTTCATAGTCAGCTTCATTATTGCAAAGAGTGCGACGTTTCGGTGTAGGTTTTCGACAGCGATGTCAGTACATACACAACAAAGGTCACATGCATTGCAATAAAGAAGTTGACAATTCATAGAACTTGGTTTTCCGATTTTCCCTTTAATATCTGCATGATATTTGTTACTGAGATATATATCTCCGTGACATATGAACATGTAGCGGTTCTGCAAACATTTGCCCAACACTTCTTAGACGTTGAACTCTTAAATGGTGATGTAGCGGTCGGTATATACTTGTGTTGAGAACTTTTACCTTGAAATCCAGAAATATGTTTGCGGGTAATCCGTGTTGATATTATGTTAACTGATATTTATTTAAAATCTGTGACGTCACACCCAATTACAGAACGGATGGATTTCGGAAGGCAAAGTAAACTTTGGGACTTGTCCGGATAATTCCAACACTACAGGTAAAAGCTACTTCGCTTCATCTACATTTACTTGCCTTAGTGTATCCTTCATCAGTATTGTTTTTTATATTAAATCATAACCTCAGTCAAAGCTCACCTCGCCACGATACGTTGTTTAAAGCAGGTCAGGTGTCATGCTCATGAATATTTGTGAGTCAAGGTAATCCTTGATTTTGATCCCTGTGAGAACAGCTAGACTTGTGAACCCGCCAAGCTTTAACTAAAAAAATGAAGAACAGACACTGGTGAATTTATGTAAATAAATTAGGAAAATTCCTTGAAAATGGTATCGTGGTAATGGTACAAAAATTATCATCCTGGTCAAACAAATTTTGAGCGAGTGTTATATATATTGCTCTTACAATGCGAGTGTTTTATATATTGCTCTTACAATGCGAGTGTTATATATATTGCTCTTACAATGCGAGTGTTATATATATTGCTCTTACAATGCGAGTGTTATATATATTGCTCTTACAATGCGAGTGTTATATATATTGCTCTTACAATGCGAGTGTTATATATATTGCTCTTACAATGCGAGTGTTATATATATTGCTCTTACAATGCTTCGAATAAAGAGCATGCTCTGTTTGCTCAAAAGTTTTGAAATGTAAATACAAAAAAGGGTCTATTTGAATTTTTATCGACATAAAGGGAAAGATGACTGACTTTGAAGTCCTATCTTGTCGTACATATGTTATCTGGAAGTCGATTCTTCTTTATAGGTGATTACTGCCTCATCACCAGGTCCCAGTGGGAGGCCTCTAGCCCAGTGGGTCAAGCAGAGCTTGCCGGGGCTGTGGAATACGTTTTCATCCGCGATACACGGGGAAGAGGCTGTTTCACTAAGAGTTTATGCTCCGCCCTTGTCAAAAGCTTACAGGATTACTATATGGACACGTTGGGTGAGTGAGTGAGAAACAGGTGTGTTGGATGGATGAGTGAGTGAGTGAGTGAGCAAGGGGATGGGTGAAGGTGGTGAGGGTGTGAGTGCCTGAGAGTCCAGACACGTGGTCAGCTGCACGTGAGGTGAGGTGAAATTTGGTTTAACGTCGTGCTTGAGGATATTTCGCTCATATGACGACGTGCATGCATGTGTATGTGTATGTGCGGCTGTTTGTACTAGCCCAGACTTAAGCTGGTTTTATAGTGCTAGCCCACTGAGATACCATGCCGTGAGTGAGAAACAGGTGTGTTGGATGGATGAGTGAGTGAGTGAGTGAGCAAGAGGTAGGTGAAGGTAGTGAGGGTGTGAGTGCCTGAGAGTACAGACACGTGGTCCGCTACAGTTGAGGTGAGGTGAAATTTGGTTTAACGTCGTGCTTGAGAATATTTCGCTCATATGACGACTTGCATGCGTGTGTATGTGTATGTGCGGCTGTTTGTACTAGCCCATACTTAAGCTGGTTTTATAGTGCTACCCCACTGAGATACCATGAAGTGACGCATGAATACCCCACTCAGACACATTATACTGACTCCGAGCCGACCAGTGCTTGTTGTACCCATTAATGCCGAGCGCCAGGCAGGGACCAACGAGTACCATATATTAACGTCTTTTTGGTATGACGCGGTCGGGGATCGAACCCGCGACCTTCCGCTCTCCGGGCGGACGCTCTAACCACTACAGCACGGAGGCGGTCCGGTCAGCTACAGTGACACAAGTGACGATGTGTACGTGAACATAGGTACACATGCATGTGGATCCCTTCTCTGTTGCCTATGTTTTCTCCAGCTTATCAGACTGAGTGCAAATGAAACACAAACCTGAACATAAAAACAGATCTTTTACCAAATTTCATTTTCATGTCCCGTTTACAGCTAACACATAAACTATAGGCATATCATTATAAAAAAATATAATAATAATGTGACCATTATAGCGCCAAACTCCACGCCAAGTATGCTCATAGCTCTAACAATCGCACAATCTGGAACATTATTATCCCGGATAACCCATGCTGCCTGTTAGGCGCTAGAAGGTTAATAACTACATGACTTATCCCACCGGGTACCCATTTTTTGATGGGCGAACAGAGGTAATTTTGAACAAACTCACTTGCCTTAGGTGAGACTATATATATGACATGTGTTTCGCTGTGGGACAGGACTGAAGTCCTAGAAACCCTTGTACTTAGATGTAGTCAACGATGAATAGCTTGGATGTTCATGTTCAAACTGCATCTGTGGTTACACTTCAGGCTGGTACGACATCGGCTACAACTTCCTCATAGGCGAGGACGGCTACACGATTGGAGCTCTACGAGGGTCGCAGAGCTGGAACACGATTGGAGTGACATCACACCAGGGGCTCAACAAACCAGGGGCTACAACAGTGATGGTGTGGGTAAGACAGGATAGGACAGGGGCTCCACCAGGGGCTACACAGTGATGGTCTGGGTAAGACAGTGACTGGACATGGGCTCAAACCAGAGGCTACAACAGTGATGGTCTGAGTAAGTCAGTGACTGGACAGAGGCTAAAACCAGGGGCTACAACAAAGCTGGTGTGGGTAAGACAGTGACTGGACATGGGCTCAAAGCAGAGGCTACAACAGGGCTGGTCTGGGTAAGACAGTGACTGGACATGGGCTCAAAGCAGAGGCTACAACAGTGTTGGTCTGGGTAAATCTTTACAAGACAGAAGCTCACACCCGGGACTATGTACAACAGCGTTGGTCTGTGTAAATCAGTGACAGGACAGTTGCTCATCCTGGGCTACAACACTTTTGTTCTTGGTAAGTCATCCAGGGCTACATCGATAACCACTTTCTCCCAAGCAGATTTGACATGTCCATTGTATTTTATCTACCCAGGTTTCGGCATGATCGGCAGCTTCAGGACGCGAGTCCCCAGCAGTGAGGCTCTCAACACCCTCGCGGCCCTCATTGCTGACGGAGTCATGATGGGAAAGATTCGGTCCAACTACACCCTCAGAGCCGAGAACGAGATAAACAACGCTGACTGTCACGCGAAAGCTCTGTGCGACCTCATCAGAGCGTCGCCACACTATTGAAATATCCATTTTACAAGCCATATGTTTGTGGTATGCTATTTTGAATACATTTCTGTATGGACAGAAATCTTTGATTTTTAAGTCAATTTAGTTTTGAAAAGTATCGTGATCATTATTGGACGCCCACTCAACTAAAGTTCATTCACCAAATATAGGAACATAGTAGAAGCATCATCATTCGTGTCCAGAGTTTTCGTGTCCCTTTTGTTTTGAATGTTGCTGGGACAATAGTTTGTATGTCTGTAAATGTATTGTGTGTTGTTTTGTTATTGTTTAACGCCACACTCAGCAATAGCACACCTGTATGGCGGTGGCCTGTAAATAATCAAGTCTGGTCCAGACATGCATGCATGTCTTCATTCGGGCTAGTAAATGCTATATGAAAACAGACACAGACAAGTGTCTATTGGTCTCCATTTCAGTTGGTTGTTTGGCTAACCATGAGGTAATAAGGATAGGCATGATGCACTGGGGACTAACATGAAGCAATATTTACTGGGAACATGCATAAGGTTGCTTGGTATAAGCATTAGGCATTGGGCACAAGCATGGGGCACTGGGGATAAGCACGGGGCACTGGGGATAAGCATGGGGCATTGGGCACAAGCGTGGGACATTTGGGATAAGCATGGGGCATTGGGCACAAGCATGGGGCATTGGGGTCAAGCATGGGGCATTGGGCACAAGCGTGGGGCATTGGGCACAAGCATGGGGCACTGGGGATAAGCATGGGGCATTGGAGTCAAGCAGATGGCACAGGATTTACTACGGACATGCATGAGGCACTAGCTCTAAGGATGATGCACAGGAGACACGCATGAGGTACTAACTGTAAGGATGATGCACAGGAGACAAGCATGAGGTACTAGCTGTAAAGATGATGCACAGGAGACACGCATGAGGTACTAGCTGTAAGGATGAGGCACAGGAGACAAGCATGAGGTACTAGCTGTAAGGATGATGCATAGGAGACACGCATGCGGTACTAGCTGTAAGGATGAGGCACAGGAGACACGCATGAGGCACTAGCTGTAAGGATGATGCACAGGAGACACGCATCAGGTACTAGCTGTAAGGATGATGCACAGGAGACAAGCATGAGGTTCTAGCTGTAAGGATGATACACAGGAGACACAGATGAGGTACTAGCTGTAAGGATGATGCACAGTAGACACGCATGAGGTACTAGCTGTAAGGATGATACACAGGAGACACGCATGAGGTACTAGCTGTAAGGATGATGCACAGGAGACACGCGTCAGGTACTAGCTGTAAGGATGATGCACAGGAGACAAGCATGAGGTACTAGCTGTAAAGATGATGCACAGGAGACACGCGTCAGGTACTAGCTGTAAGGATGATGCACAGGAGACAAGCATGAGGTACTAGCTGTAAGGATGATGCATAGGAGACACGCATGAGGTTCTAGCTGTAAGGATGATATACAGGAGACAAGCATGAGGTACTAGCTGTAAGAATGATGCATAGGAGACACGCATGAGGTACTAGCTGTAAGGATGAGGCACAGGAGACAAGCATGAGGTACTAGCTGTAAGAATGATGCATAGGAGACACGCATGAGGTACTAGCTGTAAGGATGAGGCACAGGAGACAAGCATGAGGTACTAGCTGTAAGGATGAGGCACGGGAGACAAGCATGAGGTACTAGCTTTAAGGGTGATGCACAGGAGACACGCATGAGGTACTAACTGTAAGGATGAGGCACAGGAGACAAGCATGAGGCATTAGCTCTAAGGATGATGCACAGGAGACACGCATGAGGTACTAACTGTAAGGATGATGCACAGGAGACACGCATGAGGTACTAGCTGTAAAGATGATGCACAGGAGACACGCATGAGGTACTAGCTGTAAGGATGAGGCACAGGAGACAAGCATGAGGTACTAGCTCTAAGGATGATGCATAGGAGACACGCATGCGGTACTAGCTGTAAGGATGAGGCACAGGAGACACGCATGAGGCACTAGCTGTAAGGATGATGCACAGGAGACACGCATGAGGTACGAGCTGTAAGGATGATGCACAGGAGACAAGCATGAGGTTCTAGCTGTAAGGATGATACACAGGAGACACAGATGAGGTACTAGCTGTAAGGATGATGCACAGTAGACACGCATGAGGTACTAGCTGTAAGGATGATACACAGGAGAGACGCATGAGGTACTAGCTGTAAGGATGATGCACAGGAGACACGCGTCAGGTACTAGCTGTAAGGATGATGCACAGGAGACAAGCATGAGGTACTAGCTGTAAGGATGATGCACAGGAGACACGCGTCAGGTACTAGCTGTAAGGATGATGCACAGGAGACAAGCATGAGGTACTAGCTGTAAGGATGATGCATAGGAGACACGCATGAGGTTCTAGCTGTAAGGATGATATACAGGAGACAAGCATGAGGTACTAGCTGTAAGAATGATGCATAGGAGACACGCATGAGGTACTAGCTGTAAGGATGAGGCACAGGAGACAAGCATGAGGTACTAGCTGTAAGAATGATGCATAGGAGACACGCATGAGGTACTAGCTGTAAGGATGAGGCACAGGAGACAAGCATGAGGTACTAGCTGTAAGGATGAGGCACGGGAGACAAGCATGAGGTACTAGCTTTAAGGGTGATGCACAGGAGACACGCATGAGGTACTAACTGTAAGGATGATGCACAGGAGACAAGCATGAGGAACCAGGAGCCAGATTTACTGGGAACAAGCATGAAATACTGGATTCCCTGTGGAAAAGCATAATGCACTGGGGACAGACGTGAGGCACTCAAGACAAGCATGAGGCACTGAGCAGAAGCAACTGCACTTCTGTCCGGAACCATCCTGTTAGGCCAAGGTCGTTTACACGCTGTTGTGGATGTTGCGAAATCAGAAACTCTGTCCGCGTTGCTCACCACTCTCCACACCTTTTATCATTTAAAATATACCATGGCCAAGAAATAAATTGAAATAAGTGCAGCACAGCTTTTATCATTGGGATTTATTTTCGAGCTGGAAAAAAGCACATGGGTGGGGCGCAGTTATTCCAGTATTTCTTCATCTTGTCCACATACTCCTGTGTCTCACAGCGGTCGGAGGGACAGCAGACGCCAGTGATTGGCGTGTAACAGACCAACCCTGCAACAAAGAATAGAGGCTTGAACACTAGCATTGGTGACACCGATATAACATCTGAAGGTGCATTGATAACCAGTGTCTAATCTTAAGTATTACAAAGGACTAAACATTCTTTTGAAACACAAATCACTATAACCTTCTAGAACATTGATAGTATTTTATATGACATCACCACAGTTATTTTCGAAGTGATGCAGCTGTGTGATTACTGGATGTATGTCACTTAGTACAGATCTAATATTGCTGTTTACAGGTCGACATAATAATTCAGTGATAATGGCGATTGCACGTCTTTCTGGTTCAGATTTGATGTTGAGGAAATCAGCCGGACATGTTAATGCTGTAATATTGCTGATTGTACATCTTCTGAAACAGTTGTGATATTGCTGATTGAATGTCTTCTGATACAGCTGTGATTTGCCGACTGTACGTGTTCCTGATACAGCTGTCGTGTTATGGCCGACTGTAAGTGTTATTGATACAGTTGTGGTGTGGCTGACTGTACGTGTTATTGATACAGCTGTGGTGTGGCCGACAGTAAGTGTTATTGATACAGCTGTGATACTGCCGACTGTACGTGTTATTGATACAGCTGTGATATTGCCGAATGTACGTGTTCCTGATACAGCTGTGATATTGCCGACTGTACGTGTTCCTGATAAAGCTGTGATATTGCAGACTGTACGTGTTCCTGATACAGCTGTGATATTGCAGACTGTACGTGTTGTTCCTGATATATTGCAGCTGTGATATTGCAGACTGTACGTCTTCCAGCTGATACAGCTGTGATACTGATACAGCTGCGATATTGACGGTACGTGTTTCTGATACAGCTGTGGTATTGCCGACTTACGTCTTCTGATACAGCTGTGATATTGCAGACTGTACGTCTTCCTGATACAGCTATGCTACTGCAGACGGTACGTGTTTCTGATACAGCTGTGGTATTGCCGACTTACGTCTTCTGATATAGCTGTGACATTGCCGACTGTACCCCACTACTAATACAGCTGTGATATTGCGGACTGTCCGTCTTCCTGATACAGCTGTGATATTGCCGACTGTATGTGTTATTGATACAGGTGTGATATTGCTGACTATACGTGTTCCTGATACGGCTGTGATATTGCCGACTGTACGTGTTATTGATACAGGTGTGTTATGGCCGACTGTACGTGTTATTGATACAGGTGTGATATTGCCAGCTGTCCGTCTTCCTGATACAACTGTGATATTGCCGACTATACGTTTTCTTGATACAGCCGTGATACTGCCGACTGTACGTGTTCCTGATACAGCTGTTATATTGCAGACTGTACGTCTTCTGATATAGCTGTGATATTGCAGACTGTACCCCACTCCTAATACAGCTGTGATATTGCGGACTGTCCGTCTTCCGGATACAGCTGTGATAATGCCGACTGTACCCCACTCCTAATACAGCTGTGATATTGCGGACTGTCCGTCTTCCTGATACAGCTGTGGTATTGCCGGCTGTACGTTTCACTGATACAACTGTGATATTGCAGACTGTACCCCACTCCTAATACAGCTGTGATATTGTCGACTGTACGTGTTCCTGATACAGCTGTGATACTGCCGACTGTACCCCACTCCTAATACAGCTGTGATATTGCGGACTGTCCGTCTTCCTGATACAGCTGTAGTATTGCCGGCTGTACGTTTCACTGATACAGCTGTGATATTGCCGACTGTACCCCACTCCTAATACAGCTGTGATATTGCGGACTGTCCGTCTTCCTGATAAAAATGTGGTATTGCCGGCTGTACGTGTTCCTGATACAGCTGCGATATTACTGACTATGCGTCTTCTAATACACCTTTGATATTGCTGACTACGTGTTCCTGATAAAGGTGTGATATTGCTGACTGTACGCCTCCCTGATAAAGGTTTGATATTGCTGACTTTACGCCTTCCTGATAAAGGTGTGATATTGCTGACTGTATGCCTACCTTATAAAGGTGTGATATTGCTGACTATATGCCTACCTGATAAAGGTGTGATATTGCTGACTGTACGCCTTCCTGATAAAGGTGTGATATTGCTGACTGTACGCCTTCCTGATAAAGGCGTGATATTGCTGACTGTACGCCTTCCTGATAAAGGTGTGATATTGAGTCTCCCTGCCCACTCACAATGACTCACACTAAGTCACACAATCGACTCACAATGACTCACACGAACTCACCTGGAGCACACTGGCATCCACTGCTACACACTTCCTTCAGCTGGGCTGATCCTGGTTTACACGTACCCCTATTGGTTGATGGAGCAAGGTCATGATCTACAAGAACAGTGACAAGCCTCATCTCACACAAATAGCCACACATCAACACATACGTGCCATGTGAATAAAAACGTCAATGAAAGACAGCCGGTCATCCTCATCTGACAGACCAGGGGTTGCTATTGTACAATGAGAGAGTGTGGTTTTACGACGTTTTTAGCAATATTCCAGCAACATCACGGTGGGGGACACCAGAAATGGGCTTCACACATTGTACCATGTGGGGACTCTAACCCGGGCTTTCGGCATGACGAGAGAAAGCTTTAACCACTAGGTTTCCCCACCGCGCCTGCTGCTATACAAAGTGATATTAGCGCTAGGATGACGTAACTCCCATACTCTAACACAGACACAGATCGTTTTCTACAACGGCTGCCTGATCAACAAAAACAGTCAACTGATCGATGGAACAGAAAAAGTATTTGACACGATAACTGGTACGTTAGTGTTTCCATGGACATTGGATCGAACGGATGGCTAGCTTTTTGGTGCCTTTAGAACAACTTCTCGGTTGCGTTTTAATATAACCTTTTACTGGTCCAAATCCAAAGATTCTTTTTACATGATCAAAATCCATGTCACAATAACTTCTGCCTCTGGTTTAAACACGTTTTCGTTACACATCTTCTGAAACATAGCTTCACCGCTGAGAACAACATTTGGCACTTTCTGTTGACCTCAAGAAACGGACGTAAAATATCTCTTGCTGGCACACATCTGTTAAGAAGGCTTTTGGTTAACTGTCATAGACCATGTGTCTTACTGGCTTTGTCACCAGGTTGCTGAAAATTAAAGGTTTGATCCCAATGACATGAATGAAACACTGGTGTTTATTTTACACCATTGCCAAAATCTCCTGCAAAGTCTGTAGATTCTGTTGTAATATTGTATAGAAAACAGGGGAATTTCTAAAGTATATTCTCGGAACAGAGTGACGATAGTACAATACAGGAGAACCTTCTTTGGAAGGGGACATTTATTGCGAAATTTTAAAGTCTGCACTAAGACGTTATTCTACTAAAGAAAGACCCATAAAAGCGATAGGATGACGTCACTAGAGGTTTATGAAGGATAGTGTCTGTCCCAGTCTGTGACTTAAAGAATGTAATAATGTTCATGTTCAATGAAATATCACTTCAAGGTAAGTGTAATTACATGCAGGTTAATACGTACTTTTGAGTGAAGGGTCGAGGAGTATGTTGTTGGCGTCCCTGCAGCACGAGCCGGTACCACAATCACGTGACGTACTGCATGATGTTCCAAGTAGGTATCTTGTACTCTCGGCAGTCACCTGATGATTAGACCAATTTTTCAAAATGTATAATCAGGATCAATATGTTCAGTATTCTGGGAATATGTGGGGTGGGTTACTGCGAGAATGGGCTTCGTGAATACATGAATATTGTATTCATGTGTGGAATCGAACCCGTGTCTTTGGGACAGCGAACAAACACATGAACCACCAGGCTAACCTGTATAGTGTTTGCACTAACAGTAACTGTCCGTTAAGTTGAAACTACATTGTAAAACTGTAGTTGTTTTCGATTACTACGCAAGACTGTGGTTCAGTTACTCTGACACACATTCATGTCGTGTTCTACCTCTAGGACATTCTTTTTGTTCATTGTTTAATATTTCACCGGTTTGTTAACAATCGAGTCTGGTTCGACAATCCAGTGATCAACAGCATGAGCATTGATCTACACAATTGCGAGCCTGACGACGCAGTACCGTTAGGCTCGCAATTGTGTAGATCACTGCTCATGCTGTCGACAAGCATGGTTTACTGAAGATCAGTTCTAACCTGGATCTTCACGGGTGTGTCACATGTCTGACTCCTGTTATACGTTGATATAGGTACCTTAATAACAGTAATAGCAGATAACTGATTAAACGTATTATTGCAGGCTATTCATTTGTCTATCAATAAATACTCAAAATGCAAGGATGGTATAATATCATATGCCCCAGATCAGACTGGGTTCGAAACCGAAAAGCCGGTTCGATTTCTCACGTCGGTACAATATATGAGTGAGTGAGTTAAATTTATATTGAAAAAACATCGGCAATATTTCAGCCATATCGTGAATTTAAAAGCTGTAAATTCATAATAAACGCAATTAAATTATAAAAAACATAACTGGATTACCAGAGATTAAAAGAATTGAAACTAGCATTTAACTGTAAAATTGTACAAATTTTATGGACAAAACAATATGAGAAAAGGGCTGGAGATCCCCAGCAACTGGAACTATGTCACCATACTAGGTCACCATACTAGGTCACCATACTAGGTCACCATACTAGGTCACCATACTAGGTCACTATACTAGGTCACCATACTAGGTCACTATACTAGGTCACCATACTAGGTCACCATACTAGGTCACCATACTAGGTCACCATACTATGTCACCATACTAGGTCACAATACTAGGTCACCATACTAGGTCACCATACAAGGTCACCATACTAGGTCACTATACTAGGTCACCATACTAGGTCACCATACTAGGTCACCATACTAGGTCACTATACTAGGTCACCATACTAGGTCACCATACTAGGTAACCAAACTAGGGAGCATGGAGACTTACAGTACTATATATATAGATCGCCAACAACAGAAGGTAGATCACCATACTAGGGACCATGGGGACTTACAGTACTATATGTATAGATCGCCAGCAACTGGAACTAGGTCACCATACTAGGGACCATGGTGACTTACAGTACTATATATACAGATCACCAACAACTCGAACTAGGTCACCATACTAGGGACCATGGAAACTTACAGTACTATATATACAGATCACTAGCAACTGGAACTAGGTCACCATACTAGGGACCATGGTAACTTACAGTACTATATATACAGATCACCAACAACTGGAACTAGGTCACCATACTAGGGACCATGGAAACTTACAGTACTATATATACTGATCACCAGCAACTAGAACCAGGTCACCATATATACTAGGGACCATGGTGACTTACAGTACTATATATACAGATCACCTGCAACTAGAACCAGGTCACCATATATACTAGGGACCATGGTGACTTACAGTACTATATATACAGATCACCAGCAACTGGAACTAGGTCACCATACTAGGGACCATGGTGACTTACAGTACTATATATACAGATCGCCAGCAACTGGAACTAGGTCACCATAGTAGGGACCATGGTGACTTACAGTACTGTACATACAGATCCCCAGCAACTGGAACTAGGTCACCATATATACTAGGGACCATGGGGACTTACAGTACTATATATACAGATCACCAGCAACTGGAACTAGGTCACCATAGTAGGGACCATGGTGACTTACAGTACTGTACATACAGATCCCCAGCAACTGGAACTAGGTCACCATATATACTAGGGACCATTGGGACTTACAGTACTATATATACAGATCACCAGCAACTGGAACTAGGTCACCATATATACTAGGGACCATGGTGACTTACAGTACTATATATACAGATCACCAGCAACTAGAACCAGGTCACCATACTAGGGACCATGGGGGCTTACAGTACTATATATACAGATCGCCAACAACTGGAACTAGGTCACCATACTAGGGACCATGGGATCCTACAGTACTATATATACAGATCACCAGCAACTGGAACTAGGTCCCCATACTAGGGACCATGGGGACTTACAGTACTATATATACAGATCACCAACAAGTGGAACTAGATCACCATACTAGGGACCATGGGAACTTACAGTACTATATATACAGATCACCAGCAACTGGAACTAGGTCACCATACTAGGGACCATGGGGACTTACAGTCCTATATATACAGATCACCAACAAGTGGAACTAGATCACCATACTAGGGACCATGGGAACTTACAGTACTATATAAATAGATCGCCAACAACTGGAACTGGGTCACCACACTAGGGACCATGGGGACTTACAGTACTATATATATAGATCACCAGCAACTAGAACTAGGTCACCATACTAGGGACCATGGGGGCTTACAGTACTATATATACAGATCGCCAACAACTGGAACTAGGTCACCATACTAGGGACCATGGGATCCTACAGTACTATATATACAGATCACCAGCAAATGGAACTAGGTCACCATAGTAGGGACCATGGGGGCTTACAGTACTATATATACAGATCGCCAGCAACTGGAACTAGGTCACCATACTAGGGACCATGGGGATTTACAGTCCTATATATACAGATCACCAGCAACTGGAACTAGGTCACCATACTAGGGACCATGGGGGCTTACAGTACTATATATATAGATCACCAGCAACTGGAACTAGGTCACCATACTAGGGACCATGGGGGCTTACAGTACTATATATACAGATCGCCAACAACTGGAACTAGGTCACCATACTGGGGACCATGGGGGCTTACAGTACTATATATACAGATCGCCAACAACTGGAACTAGGTCACCATACTAGGGACCATGGGGGCTTACAGTACTATATATACAGATCGCAAACAACTGGAACTAGGTCACCATACTAGGGACCATGGGATCCTACAGTACTATATATACAGATCACCAGCAACTGGAACTAGGTCCCCATACTAGGGACCATGGGGACTTACAGTACTATATATACAGATCACCAACAAGTGGAACTAGATCACCATACTAGGGACCATGGGAACTTACAGTACTATATATACGGATCACCAGCAACTGGAACTGGGTCACCACACTAGGGACCATGGGGACTTACAGTACTATATATATAGATCACCAGCAACTAGAACTAGGTCACCATACTAGGGACCATGGGGGCTTACAGTACTATATATACAGATCGCAAACAACTGGAACTAGGTCACCATACTAGGGACCATGGGATCCTACAGTACTATATATACAGATCACCAGCAACTGGAACTAGGTCACCATAGTAGGGACCATGGGGGCTTACAGTACTATATATACAGATCGCCAACAACTGGAACTAGGTCACCATACTAGGGACCATGGGGTCCTACAGTACTATATATACAGATCACCAGCAACTGGAACTAGGTCCCCATACTAGGGACCATGGGGACTTACAGTACTATATATACAGATCACCAACAAGTGGAACTAGATCACCATACTAGGGACCATGGGAACTTACAGTACTATATAAATAGATCGCCAACAACTGGAACTGGGTCACCATACTAGGGACCATGGGGACTTACATTACTATATATATAGATCACCAGCAACTAGAACTAGGTCACCATACTAGGGACCATGGGGGCTTACAATACTATATATACAGATCGCCAACAACTGGAACTAGGTCACCATACTAGGGACCATGGGATCCTACAGTACTATATATACAGATCACCAGCAACTGGAACTAGGTCACCATAGTAGGGACCATGGGGGCTTACAGTACTATATATACAGATCGCCAGCAACTGGAACTAGGTCACCATACTAGGGACCATGGGGATTTACAGTCCTATATATACAGATCACCAGCAACTGGAACTAGGTCACCATACTAGGGACCATGGGGACTTACAGTACTATATATATAGATCACCAGCAACTGGAACTAGGTCACCATACTAGGGACCATGGGGGCTTACAGTACTATATATACAGATCGCCAACAACTGGAACTAGGTCACCATACTGGGGACCATGGGGGCTTACAGTACTATATATACAGATCGCCAACAACTGGAACTAGGTCACCATACTGGAGACCATGGGGGCTTACAGTACTATATATACAGATCGCCAACAACTGGAACTAGGTCACCATACTAGGGACCATGGGGACTTACAGTACTATATATATAGATCACCAGCAACTAGAACTAGGTCACCATACTAGGGACCATGGGGGCTTACAGTACTATATATACAGATCACCAGCAACTGGAACTAGGTCACCATAGTAGGGACCATGGGGGCTTACAGTACTATATATACAGATCGCCAACAACTGGAACTAGGTCACCATACTAGGGACCATGGTGATTGTAGACAAATATAGCCATAAATTAAACTCACACATATTCTGCGATTAAAACTGTGGTAAGAGGTAATATACTTTGAATATATCGTCTCAGGAGGACGGTAAATTGTATGAACTTATTTCTGGTGTGGCTGAAAGCTGATTGCTAAAAGCAGTGTAAAACCACACTCACTCATTTATGCAAAAACACAGCAAGTCCGATTGTTTTAACCTTATACATTCAAAATGTATTTACTACTTAACCTACTTAAATGATTAATTAAGCAGTGAACTCCAGCATATACTGACATGCCCCTAAACACAATGATTCTGGTGTATGTATAACAATTATCTTGTATTGACGAATTCGTATAATTTAATTAATGATTATTACAGCTGAAAATAGCTTTAGATATTTTACGTGTACTTCCTATACGACGTATAACAAAATACAAAATACGACCCTCAGACAGGGACGAATACAACACAGGGGCGAATACAGCATCCCTGCACCCCACCCACCCCCTCTGAATCCGTCTATCTTCAGATCTCACCTCACCGTCGACAGTGAAGCTTTACTTGCCTCGGGCGAGTGAGCATATGACCTAGTTTCCTTTAAATGCTGCGCAATAGCACTTGGAAAAATACTATGAGTGACGGGTAACGCATGCCGCTTAACTCGTGTTCCTTTCATAGCAGGATTGTTGATTTCATCCATTGTATTATACAACAGCACATGGTGATGCCATACCCTAACTGACGTGAGACGACAAACCTGTATTTGTAGTTTAGTCAGTAAACATATCACCAATATCCACATTGCCTGAGACTCTGAAGCTATATTCAACTATTCACACAGAGTTAACTATAGTACAAGGACCCCCATGATCTTCAGTTCATGGTTCTGTCACACTGTTTACGACTTCTATATGTTTTTATGTTAAGGCACCTGTACGTTGTATATGGATATCGTGAAACAACGGGACACATTACAGCATTGGTAATTGGCTTCGTCCCTGTAAACGACTTTCCGACTGTTTAAATACTACCCACTTCCCATACAAATCGATACAAACAACAATGGCCACCCAGTGCGATATAACTGCCATCACAACCCAGTGTTTCTTACACCACACCACACCACAACCCGCCGCAACGCGTTATACAATTGCATGCACCACCAGAGGGAAAAACAAGCTCAAACACTTACAATGGCTGCCAGTAAAATGATCAACCCTCTCATTGTAGACATCAGTGCTGCAACTGTCGCTAGCTGCATACACATATCTTGATTATGTACGCACTCCCGGATGTGACACGGGCAACGCAGTATGTGCCAATCAGGTGTTGTCTGCCTTTGACAAACATTGACTGGGACTGCGACATGGGCAAACCGGCTGACGTCATGAATGTTCACACCTCTAACCTTCATCCACAGTAGGTCTGTACCTCAGGCCCTTTACCTGCAGCCCTTCAAGTATACCCTGGACTGTGTCACCTTGGACCCGTTACCCAGGCAGTACCCAGGCAGCTGCAGCCCTTCAAGTATACCCTGGACTGTGTCACCTTGGACCTGTTACCCAGGCAGCTGCAGCCCCGAACCCTGGAACCTCCGAACCCCCGAACCCTGTGGTTAAAGCGTTCGCTCGTCACGCCGAAGACCCGGGTTCGATTCCCCACATCTGTACAACGTGAGAAGCCCATATCTTGGTCCCGCGCCCTGATGTTGCTGGAATATTGCTTAAAGCGGCGTAAAACTCCACTCCACTCCCCCCCACTCACTCACTCTTTCACTCACAACATCAGTACTCATTCACCTGTAACCCTCCATACAATGAACCATGGGCGTGTTGCTCGTGGAATCTAAGATTCTAAACTGACAACAGTCACAACAATAAAGACCCTGCAGTGATATTTTGAACCATGCAGGAGAACACAACCAGTTCATAGACCTCGACCACTTGATCATTTCGGCTTCTCTCATCTCTAGCATAGGTTACTGGGTACCTTCTCTGGATGGCATGTTGTCAATAACGAGTAACATCAATCATGTGTCAACATATTTGTAAGTGATAAAACGTGATTAAATATAAATTGCATTGATCATGAAATGACGAACTATTGCCGCATCCATTAAAACAAGCTGTGCCATGCTTTTATGTCGTGGTGATGCTTTAGTATGGGCGGTGGGCGCGCTGTCTAAGGCGCCAGGCTAGTAATCCAGCGAGCTTGGAGGTGCCTGGATCGAGCTCACCTGTGACCGGGTGTTAATAAACCTTGGAGTCAACTTTGTGTGCAGATTCTTTCAGTGTTGTCACAGACCCCTAGTGTACAGCACACAACCCTGTGCACTCAAAAGAACCCACGAATCCGTTGGTAGATGACCAGATGGTACCCTTGCCAATACGTGCAAAACACCTAGTTGCGGGTACATCAACGTGCAGTAAACTTGGACGAAGTACTGTGACTATGTGTCCCAGTCCACCCAGCTGTTAATGGGTACCTCGTAAGGATTGGAAAGCCACATTAACTCAGTGCGCCTAGTGGGCAAAAAGAGTTGTATGATCCTCAGAGAGTTGAGATTGAAAATACGATGTGCCTTTGTGATGGACATCCAATGATCGAGGGAAAACAAAAGCGCCTTTGAGCAGTTGTACTGGATATCGGCGCTATACAAATGTTAGTATGTATGTATAGTGAATGTGTGAGTTGGTTTTAGCTTATAGCAATATTCCAGCAATGTATACTATTCACACTTTACAAAGGATCAAGTCATGGATTTAACAGAAAACTATGGTGTGGGGTCAAATTTGGTTGAAATATCTAAGCTTATAATAAGCGTGGACCCTAGGTTTCAGTATGTCATTGCATGTTGTGGATCCCATACCTGCTATTGACAGGTGTTGTGTTCTTGTCAGTGACTCGTTCCATGATTTGCAAAATGGTTGATAGGTGCCATGAAAACCATTTTTATGGTTTCTCATGTATCCAGTTCATAAGGTTAGATTAAAGTAGATGTTTGCCTAAAGAAGGGTTACTATATTATTAGTTATCCAGCTTTAAATTGATACCATTTCAAATGATAAATCTACGTTTACGTAAAGTTGTGAAATTTGCGATCCTTAGCAAATTGGCGGTAGTATACATCCCCAGCGGGGGACATCACAAATGGGCCTCACACATTGTACCCACTTGGGGAATCGAACCCGGGCCTTCGGCGTGATGAGTGAAGCTTTAACCTGAAGGCTTATCAACTGCCCACTATAAGTACAAGCACTCGAAAGCATGTTCTGTCCAACTTCTCAAAAGGACATTCAAATTATTAATACACAGAATATTGATTGGTGATTCGAGGTATACAGAGTTCCAGGGGGAATTTTCTTTACTTGAGGATAATATCAAAGATGCGTAATCTTTTATGGTCTGTAATTTATCTGAATTATTGAGGACAGACTGCAGTAACATTACTCAACTGTGAGTAGCGTTCATAATGTGTGACCAGCTGTGTCAGATATAAACACTAATAACCGGTTGTTAATGTTTTTAAACGACATTTGTTGTCTCTAGAATGGTTTGGGACACAGCTAAAGCCGGATTGGTCTAAAATATACTGAGCTGGGTGCCGTTCCACTAACCGATCTTAACTCTGATCAACCTTAGCAAGTTACGCCAATTTTACAATCGTCTTAGCTAAAAGTTATACCCGTTTCATAAACCGATCATAGCCGGTCCCGATCTTACGATCCAATCCAAACTTAGGTCGAGACTCTTCCGTGCGAAAGAAAGAGAAATTCCAGGCTCGAGTTATCTCCCTTTGCATAGTCTAGCAGACGATGGAAGTAGCTTTGGAACCAAATGTAAACGTGGAGAAAGAACGAGAACGGTCACTTCTCACTGTATAATATACTGCATTTCCGTGACTTCTCACTGTATGATATACTGCATTTCCATGACTTCTCAATGTATGATATACTGCATTACCATGACTTCTCACTGTATGATATACTGCATTACCATGACTTCTCACTGTATGATATACTGCATTTCCATGACTTCTCACTGTATGATATACTGTATTACCATGACTTCTCACTGTATGATATACTGCATTACCTTGACTTCTCACTGCATAATATACTGCATTACCTTGACTTCTCACTGTATGATATACTGCATTTCCATGACTTCTCACTGCATGATACACTGCATTACCATGACTTCTCACTGTATGATATACTGCATTTCCATGACTTCTCACGGTATGATACACTGCATTACCTTGACTTCTCACTGTATGATATACTGCATTTGCATGACTTCTCACTGTATGATATACTGCATTTCCATGACTTCTTACTGTATGATGTACTGCATTTCCATGACTTCTCACTGTATGATATACTGCATTACCTTGACTTCTCACTGTATGATATACTGCATTTCCATGACTTCTCACTGTATGATATACTGCATTTCCATGACTTCTCACTGTATGATATACTGCATTACCATGACTTCTCACTGTATGATATACTGCATTTCCATGACTTCTCACTGCATGATACACTGCATTACCTTGACTTCTCACTGTATGATATACTGCATTTGCATGACTTCTCACTGTATGATACACTGCATTACCATGACTTCTCACTGTATGATATACTGCATTTCCATGACTTCTCACTGTATGATACACTGCATTACCTTGACTTCTCACTGTATGATATATTGCATTACCTTGACTTCTCATTGCATGATATACTGCATTTCCATGACTTCTCACTGTATGATACACTGCATTTCCATGACTTCTCACTGTATGATATACTGCATTACCTTGACTTCTCACTGTATGATATACTGCATTACCATGACTTCTCACTGTATGATATACTGCATTACCTTGACTTCTCACTGCATGATATACTGCATTACCATGACTTCTCACTGCATGATACACTGCATTACCTTGACTTCTCACTGTATGATATACTGCATTTCCATGACTTCTCACTGTATGATATACTGCATTTCCATGACTTCTCACTGTATGATATACTGCATTTCCTTGACTTCTCACTGCATGATATACTGCATATCCATGACTTCTAGCTTGATTATATACTGCATTTCCATGACTTCTCACTGCATGATACACTGCATTACCTTGACTTCTCACTGTATGATATACTGCATTACCTTGACTTCTCACTGCATGATATACTGCATTACCATGACTTCTCACTGCATGATACACTGCATTACCTTGACTTCTCACTGTATGATATACTGCATTTCCATGACTTCTCACTGTATGATATACTGCATTACCATGACTTCTCACTGTATGATATACTGCATTTCCATGACTTCTCACTGTATGATATACTGCATTTCCATGACTTCTCACTGTATGATACACTGCATTACCTTGACTTCTCACTGCATGATATACTGCATTTCCATGACTTCTCACTGTATGATATACTGCATTTCCATGACTTCTCATTGCATGATATACTGTATTTCCATGTTTCATCTCACGCTTGGAATAAGTATCGAAATGATATGTCAGCAGGCGACATTGTCTGTCTAAAATGTTGTGCTTGTTTGTTGTTTGTAAATAATCGTGTCAGGGCCAGACAATCCAATGATCAATATGATAAATAGTGATCATAACTTCCTTGCTTACGGATTTAGAATCTACACCGAAATGTCGCATTTATTGCAATAAAGAAGTTGTCTATCCTTAAAGTGATCTTCTTCATCATATCAACTTCTAAATATAGGGATAATAGTCGTCTGTGATGTTGTTGTTTACAGATCGGCAGAGTACGTCTGTGATGTTGCTCTTTGCCTTCTTAGATGTTATTACTTTAAAAACATGTTTGGAACATCTGCAATATTTGGAATTACGCTTTCTCAGTGAAGTGCAGATTCTAATACTTTTTTGTATTTGGTTGAGTCCCAACTCTCAGAGTAAAGCCCCTAATCGCAAGTACACAAAGTCAGCCGTCCAGCCCACTTAGCCACCACGGATTCCACAAAAATGCAATTCGGACAAACTGTATTGTCTGTTTGGGTCAAAATGATACCGATGAATCACAATCGGTTCATCATCAAGCATTCATTTCAACTAGGTTTCGTTCGACTCAGTATAGCAGTGTAACGAATAATACTGAGCCTAAGTTTACTTAGACTGACATCAAAAGCAACGAAACATGCTTTGAATGGCATGATAATGCGTAACAAACCAACACCAATCTGTAAGGTAGATCAATATCCCAAAGCTCATGACCATAAAACTTTACATTTACCGCCTTATTATTGCGATCTCAGTCCAATAGAACTTATCTCGGGTATAGTAAAATCTGATTTGGCAAAACTGTGCACACTAAGCTGCACGTTCTCCCCGCCCTTGGGGCTGTTCCTGCAACAGTTTATTGTAACTTTACCCTCGTAAAACTTCACAAGAAAAATCAAAACAAAATAATGATAGTTTGTTGAATACCTTTTTTGTTTTGGAGACAAACGTTATGAAACTTGTTTCCAGAGTTGGTCTGGTGTTTTCATTACATTTTGCGTTGAAATGAATGTTTGATTATGTACCGATTGAGAGATAGATTATGATTCATCGGTGTCATTTGGACTCGAACAGACTGTAGACTAGACCACGGATTTTGTGAATACTTCTGACAAGTGTAAATTGGCACGGCTCCCACACATGTTATACCTGGGTCTACACATTCTCAGTAAAGATTCTAGTACTTTTGTTGGAGTGAGTCCCACCCATAGGGCGTGGGTTCCCGGGTGGGACTCAGTCCATCAAAAGAGTTAGAATCTGTAAAGAGAAAGTGTAATCCAAAACATAACGTGTTACATTTGACCAGTTTCTAAATGGCATTGTATCATATTTAAATTCACTTCATAAATAACTTCCATTGATAGTGAAACGAGTTTTCTTGCAGGGTAGAGGAGAGGTGGTGATAGAGGTGATGTCAGCGTGCCCTGTGTTAAACCTTATACAAAGTGTGTTATCTCGAGCGAATTAAAGTAGTAGCTGCGCTCGAGTTTCAAGTAACCAAAGAGGCCCAAGTGAGGTGGCGGCAAATGGTAATAAATCAAAACATGATGAAATCTTCAGCACATATTTTCAAATGTCTTGTCATCAGTAGGGGGTGGCGGAAACAATGTGTACGAATCTACCACACACTTAAACACAGACACAAACACCTTTATGTTGTCATAAACGATTGTTTAGATTTATAACAACCTTGATCAGGCCCCTTTGCTTGTCACAATAAGTATGTATATTATATCAGGCGATCAGTCTGTCCTTGATATTACAACCCAGCCGCACCCGACAGGGAGCAGTGTAGGTAAGATGGCTCTTGTTTTGGGGTGATGTTGGTGTACTGTAACATACATATCTGTGTTCGCTCCAAGGGAACATAACTCTAGAAATTATAACAACATAGACAGCTGTTTGACACATTGCAATCTATTATGTGATATTCACTTTGATTCGTCTGTGTGTTGATAGACGAATGTGTGGTCTACGTAAATGCTTTTCAAAAGTCATGAAGTAAGTTTTTTTTTCAAAATGTCGAAAGTAACTACTGCTTGTCGATATGTGTGTGTTTGATTTGACATGAAATGTGAGACTCTCCCGCTTTCATCTCTAATGAGATGGTGTTATTATTATCCAAAGTTTAAGGAAATGCTATTAAATCTTAATTCTTTTCATTGTGTTGTGTAAAGTGGGTACTGAGGACAGTGACGTTTGTTAAAGCGTTTACTGTAAACTGTGTATTGAGAGGGCAAGTCTTATACAAACTGAATATACCGAACCAGGTATATAATGAACCAGGAACATGGTGCTGGTCGAATCTAGGATTTAAAACCGTCCCCAGTGACCATAACAAATACCCTGATTATTTGAACCAGGGCCTAAGCAGCAGAATATACAATGGCAGAACGGGACCACTCCCCCTCATCAAGCTTTTTCACCTGAATTCTTATCCGTTTTGCTAATCTGATCGAGATGAATGCACAGCTCTTGATAGGGAACTATATCTGATAATTTTGAACCACTCAGTTAAAAACCCGAGTGTCCTCGATAAGACCTTACCAAGTCTTAAGGAATGGTTAATGTTAGCATTAAGTTTGACTCATTTGGTATGAGGCTAGCTCCATTATGTTTAAGAATTTCGTCGTTTAGCGAACAAACACTATAAAAACCATCGGATACAATGTGGTGGTCTTTATTTAAACATACCCTATCATTGTTTTTCTCATTACTTATATTAGTCGTGGGTAATACAATAAATAATTATATAATATACAAAGATACTAAATTATATTTTCAATATGAGTGAAGCGGATAAACTAACGAACATGGACATTGTGGTGGAACCATGGTAGAAAATATATCATGTTCGTCAACAGTGCAAGCAAATTTGAATAGGATATTGCTATAAAATTGAAATGTTGCTTATGTCTATAAATTCATAGCTGATTCTAACCGCTTTCAATAAGTGCTTGGTACCATAAGTAATATGTTCATTAAGTAGTACATCTTATTTGTTAACATTTGCAAGCATGCATCTCTTCTTACAGTATATACCATCAGAATTCCAAGGTAGAAATGTAGCAGTCTATATTTAGCCTGTTTGCTGATTCTATTTCCTTTTATATGTAATATCAATGTTCAAACCTTGCACATATAGCTTCTTTGGAAATAAAATATTGTTTAATCAATTGGTTTGAAAAGAAGTACAAACATATGTAAATATGAATGGAAGGTTTAGCCTGGTGAGTCACGCAGACTGGAATGTCAGTTACTGAAATTGAAAATATTCACCCAAACGCAACCGTCCACGTTAAAGTGGGGTCGAAAGCTCGTCATCTCGCCTCAAACTTGTGTTTTGGCGCTACACTCCAGCGGATCGCAATTTTTTCAGTCTAAGATATACTACCCATCAAAAGCTTAAACTCACTAGTGAAAATTAAGTAAAAATAAAGGTTAATGGTACCTGCGGCAAAGATTAATTATTTACAAAACCCTGCAAGATATCATTACACAGCCAACTTACATGAAATCGATATGGGTCATGCTTCCACAAAACAATGTCATTTCCGATTTCCGTACTTCTGCAACAAACATAACTGTCTGAGATTGGAATGTGTATTGAATTTCAACTGAGTATTTATATACTCCAGCAGGTAAAGGGTTAACAGAATGCATGAAATACAGCTCACCTTTTCTAGCTCATTGTACATGTCTGCATATGAATATAATTCTGCAGTATACAAGCAGGTCAAAATTAAGACTATTCTCTGCAAGAAATGAAATATCAAATTCTCAATGGATAGGAAATATTACTTATAAGTCAATCAATTCTAACAATTTGTACAAAGTTTCAATTACATACCTTCAACTGAACAACACAGGGTTTGCAGAAACACCGTTCCTGGTCTTGAATTGATAACACTAAATTTTTCACTTTGCTTTTAAGGATAGGTATAGTTTAACACAACTGCTTATCATTCAGCTGAATCACACGCCAGACAGAGATGTGTGCGTTCACCTGTACCTGTGATATTTTTATACCAACATAAAATTAAATCACGTATATCTTCAATGTTTTACCACTTTATTTTGAATGTTAATGGTACACGCTATTTAGAAAATGTCTCGATTTATATTACACTTTATCATGACTTACAATTCCTTTGAATTTTCAGTACACATATTCTATTAAAAGTGTCACGATCAAGATTTGCAAACTTTTTTGTTTGCAGACATATAAGAAAGTATACCATATGACCTCTTTACACTATTATCTGATTATTGCATTGTATTCCAATAGTTGTGACTCAAAATATTTTATTGATACTTCATCAACTATACAACCTTTATATTAAACTGAGGTGAAGTTTAGTTTCAGGTGTTTTCTGTGGGAGGTTATTTAGTACAATGTATGTATGTAACCTATAAATAGCTAAAGATATGCATGACTTAACAAGTCAGCCAAGTCATGGTTGGGTGTATTGTTCTCATGCTCTGATACATTCAGTCATCTCAGCCTTCATTAAAGCAAAACAATGGATAGTATAAAAACGTAGAAGACATTTCCAAATAGGGAAGTGCTGACACAGAAAGGAATGTGTATTGACGTGACAAGCTCACTGTGTGGTCATTGTTGAGATGTTATTACAGATCATGAGCCACAACTGACTAGTGTGTGGGCTGCGACTTGACACTATTGAAAAGAGATGCCGTGTGTCAACAACCTGTTTGTGAGTTTTTATGATAGATACCAGAATTCGAAGAACAGCATTTTGCAAAAATATGAAATTATCTAAGCTGTAATCGTTTTGTGTTTTCTTCACACGAAAAATTCGAGTTCAACTACACCACCTGGATGTATTGTAGGAATAGTTTCATTGGTAAATACTTTAGGTTTTTTTGTTTATTTGGTCAAAGCTTCTTTAACTAGCTTTGTTGTTATCCCTCGGTAGTTATTTAAAGTGCATGAACACTCATAAACACGCAATGTATGCATGACATCAAGGTTAGACGTGATGCCAGATGCTAATACACTAATGCTAGATTCTTTATTCAGCCAAAACATGGCGTAGCAGACCTTTCCATATAAGGTTATGCTACTACTTGATCACCCGATCCAGAGCCGGGGCGGTCTTGTAAAAAGGCAATTACACTGGTGCCAGCAATATATATATATATTCAGGGGTTCGGGGGCGGCGGTGTAGCCTAGTGGTTAAAGCGTTGGCTCGTCACGCCGAAGACCCGGGTTCGAATCCTCACATGGGTACAATGTGTGAAGCCCATTTCTGGTTTCTCCCGCCGTGATGTTGCTGGAATATTGCTAAAAGCGGCGTAAAACTAAACTCAGTCAGTCAGTAATAGCCTGTTCAAGATCATATTGTTCTGAACAATAGGATTGCTGAAACATATTTACAATGTGCATGACACCATAGAAACATGAATTAAAAACAACGAAACAAAAATTGTAACAGGCCTTTTATTAACAACATAAGGTGTCAGTCTTCACAAGTGTAGGGTTCAAGGGATTTTCACAAGAAAAATAAGCAATCTTGACGGTTCAATGATTTTAAAGCTTGTATTGTGTTTAAGTCTTGACATGAAACATGAAACAACTCAGATACAGCAGATATAGAACAGAGAAGACTATCGTTTAGCGGCATTTATGCCACAGAAAGATGTTTGTGTCCTGGGGGTCCGAACTTGGCTGCTCTCCTGATGTATAGGACCAAGCTGTTGGTGTCATTTCGAGAAAACTGTTTTGTCTTGGCAGGTTGTGTTTTTAATATGTGGATAAGTCGACATCTCTTCCTTCCTTTATGTCGGCTTGGTGACTGATTCTTCTGTGTCATTATTATGGGATGATAAAATCTCGAGTGAAGGGTTGTAACGCAAGACAAGGATTTTATTCTTGCTGACCCTCCCCATCATCATTATCGTCATCGGCAGCCATGACAGATTCACTGTCACTTTCTACTTCGGGCATATCTATACGAGTCAGAATGTCTTTCATGATAGTTTTCATGAAACGGGTTATCTTGTTTTTGATGATAGATTGATCAGTGCCAGGGTCCATATCACTCAGGCTGTCTAGGTTGGGTTGAAATAGAGGTGCCTGTTTAAAGTATTGAGTGAACTCTATGACATTGTTAAGGCTATTGGCCAATTCATTTCCCCATATCTGTTTCATTTTTCTGTCAATCCAATCTTCTGTTCGACCCTGTTGTCTGTACTTTTTCCTTTTGAGTTTCATCACGTCATGGTTGATGTTGTACACACGATTCCAGATGCGTTGTAAACCCACATTTTGCCACTCCTCCATGTCAGTGCTTGAAGGCTTCCCACGACATTGTTTTCCAGCAGAACCTCCTCCTTTCTGTACAGGAAGTTGTTCCTCGCCTTCACTGTTGTCGTCACTATCATATCTGAGACGTTTCCTCTTGGATTTCAAACTGGTGTTTGCTGGACACCATGTTTTGATATGTCGCTGTAGATCATGCATATTGTCTATCAATACCCCACAGTCGGTACACGCAGTGGCCATGGTGAAAGGTCCTGTGTCGTCACTCGAGATGGATGCTGTTTCAACGTCGTTGTCAAAGCTAAGAAATCTTTCTTTGGATGTGTGATCAGCACAAATGTCGGAAGCTGTCTGAACGTCTAATACTGGAGAGACCTCTTTTACCTGTTCTTGTTGCAAACCACTCTGTTGATCAGATGTATTGAGGTTGGTTTTCAAGAGATTGACATGGAGTCTAATCTTTTCACTTGTACTAGGTTTGAGATCCACTGTGAGGTGTCCATAAGGTGTTTCAACAGCCTTTTCATAAAGAGTCATAAATCTACTAATGTTCTCAGGAAATATCCTTCTGGCAAATAACTCCACCTGCTGTCTGTCCACTGGTGAATTGAAAAGTGTTACATATTGTGAATTTAGAGCAATGTCACGAGATTCTTTACCTCTTGGGAAGAGGTTTTGCAATAGCAAAAAGATAATAACATTTTTGTGGTGGGAGGTTTGAGTAAACAGACGGGAAATCCGCTTATCGTTCTTTGCTTCAGACAGAAAATCATCCAACACCATCATGTTCTGGTTGTGGGCATCAAAGTAGTTTTCATCTTCGATATTGTAAGGTATTCCTTTCACAAAGGTCTCTATCTAACGCAACTGCCGTTGCACCGAGCTTAGTCTGCACGGTTTGTAAAGCCTTAGTGGTCAGACAGTTTGGACCTTGTATTACGGAAGTCGGTTAAGCTTAATTCATTACAGATAAAGTTGATGCCATGGCGACCAGCTAGTATAGACAATGCGAGTTGTTTTCTAGTATGGGAATGCGGGAGATACCTTGAGAAGCTTTAAGTCACAGTATCCTTTTTTTCATCTATTTCAAACTCAACCGATAGGGGTAACTTAATTTTCATCTTCCTGTAAGGCATCGTAATAATCATTAACAGCTGGATGTAAACCCATGAGTGGGGTTTCATGATCCAAGTGGGTTCCATCGGAGAGGGCAACGTCGGACAAATCGTGCTTTTGGAAGATTAAGAGAACCATTAGGAGTCAAAGCAATTCGTCAATCCATTACTATAACTAACAATCCAAGTACAATTAATCAAAACCAAACGCTGTCGGTTCGCTTTCCTAATCTGGGCAATAATGACGTAACCAAACGTTGTTGGTTTGCTTTCCAAATCTGGGTGTTAATGACGGTACTGCGAGACTGGCTTTGAATATTAGTTTTACTTCCACGGATGATAAAAGGGAAATCGTTTCGAACACTGGCCAGGCGATCGTTAAGAAAACGATTATTAAGTCAGCGAAATTAAGACAAATTGCAACCAATATTCGTGAACTTTAGCCATATTGTCTGATTGTGTTATCGTCAACAAAAGATCACAGGGATGAAAACAATACACTGTGGAATATCAATCTGAACGTGCCTGCTAGACCTTTGAAGTGTATTTTGATCATTCCGGAAGAAGGAATTATGCCGTTTCAAAAAGAAACGAAAAGTATTGGAACCCTGAGATTACAAAAGTCGAAGTGATTATGGAGGGTGTGCCTAATCAGCTACTTAGTCCAGGCGCGAGGACCTACCAACAGCGGGGTGAGATAAACTGCAGTCCAGAAATTAACTCGATTAAGAAGAATCTCGGTCTCGTCGATGTGACGATCGGTGATTATCTGATGAGTAATTGAGAGCTGTGGCTGAATATGCGATCCACGAATGATCAATTTCACGGTAGTGGGCGTCGAATCGAAAACGAGAGCAATGGTATCACAATCCAAATCACCTCATTATGGATGCACAACTGAATTAACAAAAACACTTTTATATTGGATATGTTTGAAGGTTATTTTTTCGTGTGTTTTTTAACCATATCGCTATTCTTTGTACTATACTGGACAAAAATGTTTAGGGATATATGTAAATTTTGATACTATGAGTAATAATCTATTTACTCATTGATACACTGATAAATTATAAATAATAAAAATACCAATATCCCTGTCTTATTTTGTCCAGTATATTTCACATGTCAATAAAACGTACAAGGGGAGAGAATGGGTTATGCATGACGAGGAGGTGCTTCAATTGACCCCGGAGTATACTTACAGAACTGGCTGTGAGCATTTTACAACAAGTTTAAGGGAGAGTCAACGCTTTTTATCCATAGACGACTGTCGCACTCATAAAGAGATCACTGAAAAGAAAGATTTGTTGTCGTATTTAGCATTCTCGGGCCATCATATTGAGCATAGCGTTTGGGTACTAATGCAAAAATTCAACTCGGTAACAAGTGTGTAAATGTGAGCGCGATTTTAATCTGTCCACGACTGAGGTAATCATGTTACTGTACGAGTTCTCCCCCTTTTTGATCGATGACGGAAGTAGAACACTGGTTACTTCCTGGTTGTATGGACGGATGGAGTGGGCGTACATTATGACACTGTAAGTTTGTTCATGTTTAATGTTGTTTTATGTTCTGTCTCCTTGCTTTTGACTGAATTGTTGCTCTTGTCTTTTATCTTGATATTGTTAAGTGTCGAATGTCTTCAGAATAGGTTGCAGGGACTATCGTCGGTGACCGAGCACTTGTCTTGACAAAGCATCTTCATACACTCCGATGTGATCTAAGACACATACATCCACGTATATATAACTGTCCATTCTATGCTGAGTGTCTTTCCCAAACCAAACTGTCAAAGCCTGAATGGCAATTCCAATCATATGTAAGGTACTAGCCTGTCAATAGGTACACATGTCTTTGCAAGGTGGTTGTCTTTGTTTTGTTGTTGTTTCAGCAGATCTTCAAGACTGGTAATCTCCTGGAGTTGAAATTATGATTTATGAAGTTATGTGGCGGCTTGTATATGTCCAGACCTGGTGTTTGTCATGCTTAAGAATCAGTGGTCTAAGCGTTGTCTAACTTGCTAGTTCTTTAGCCGCCTTTGCAAAACCTACTCATATTTATCAATTGTCCACTTGCTGGGTGAATATAAATATATAATAAAATAGGATAATAGTCTTCTCCTGGATACTCCTGGACATCACCATATATGTTTTTTCAATCTTTTCGTTTTTAATCTTGCATGAGTTTAAGATTTGACCTTGTTCACTATTACCTTCAAACGTAAACTTGTCGGACGTATCTGAATGTGTGAGTCTGAGAAAGATCAACCTTATCATGTCCAGTTTATATCTGGTCATAAGGATTGTACTTTTAAACTTGTAATGGCAATAGCACTTAAGAAAATATACTAAACTATTAGCTATATTTACAGAATGGTCTCGTGAAAAATGGAAACTGGACCTCTGAAAAACACTCCAGATGTGACAGAGTACAGACAATCCGCATCAACATCAACACAAGATGACACTGTGGCTAGATCAGAAACAGGCACAGGTGCAGACCTCAGGAGCACTGCCCACAGGAGCGCTGCTCCCCAGGTCAGTCAGGCCTTCCGACCAGATGACCCTCCATCCGCTGCAGCCAGCATTACCACGACCACCCCTCAGCTGGAGCCAACTTTCATCACACTACCGTCAGACAATGTGCAAGGTATGTCGACATTTAATCGCGTTAATATATGGCCTGATATGCTTATCCCGCGCGGTAACCAGTCAACTGTTCACATACAATCACCCCAAATTCCTACCTCCACACCACAGCTGGGCATACCCACCCCACCTCTCCAATACCCCAGCATACTGGTTAACGCTGACGGGCTAGTAAATCAGAGGCTAAACTTCAGGGCTATCGATACCATAAGCTTTCATGTGAGACAGACAGTGAAGGACAACATTGACCGGGGAGACTTTATTGACATGAAATCACTGTTGCCATCAGAAAATCAGGCGGCAATAGAAGGGTGTCAACGGCAAGGGAGACAATCCAACCCTTCCTCAACACAAGAAGGTGCTGTCGCCACATCATCAACAGACACATCGGCGGTAATAGAGGAGAACCAGCAGCAGGGACTTCAGTCCATTTCTACAACCACACACAACTACATCGGTAAATCTTCCCCTACTATAACTGTCATCTTATTGTTGGAGCATATTTTTCCCATCATGATGGCTGCCTCTGTACTTGGGTAGAGCGTCTGCCAAATTCAATAGAAAATAGGATTAAATGTAGATGTTTCTCTGATGTGGTAAAGGATTATTAATCATACATCTTATAGGACTAAATCAACAAAGTTTAGAATTGAATGTGATGTAAGTTAGCTGACATGACATTAAAGGGTAGCAAACAAAGATCATCCTGGTTCACATTTTAAGCATTAACAATTATCTTCACACATGTAAATTCGCATACTTGTAAGTAACTGCATACTGTTACCTGAATGTTTACTGTCAGTTTGAGCTTATGTCCTGTGTTATTGATGGTTGTCAATCCGTCTGATAGCGCTGAGTGATCACAATTTACCATAAACATTTTTCCAACAAGTGAAAGCATACTTTAAGAACATAGTCAGCTTATTTTCATTTATTTTCTTCAATTATTTCCTTGAACGTCGTTATTTGCTCCAGGTTGTTCAGTACCTCAGTAATATGTGTCCCAGTCCTTCAACGTTGATTTTTGTCAGTATCCCACTGTCCTACTCATTCAAATTTTGTTTCTTGTTCCAGGTTGTTCAGTATCCCAGTATGACCTGTCAAACTCATCTCAAACTTCAGAGGGGAATCCCGGACATCGTGGCTGTGTTTCACAAGGTAAAGTGTTAGTGAACGGTCACTTATAGCGAAAGCTTGTCTTCTGTCACAGTGCACAGATTAGGAATGGACCTCACTTTCAGTTAACATAGTATGCAACATTACTTTTGTAGATAGATGTTGTTACCAGTTGGAATGGAGAAATATAGTTCAGAATATGTTTCCATTTCTTTTTGTTTAGTACAACCACTGAGCTAGCCTAATGTGAAAATCTACAATATAATTACAAGCATATTGTTCTCATCTATTTTTCTTAAAATCTCAGTCTTTCTGGTATTAAGATGTTTGGGAAGACGTGTTCTAGTCCTCTGATGTTCATGTTTTCAGCATCTCTTAGCATCAGGATCAAGCAACTCAATGAAGGGTTTGAGGAAATTGGCACACTCCATAAAGCAGAAGAACTCCTAAAAAGACACAACCATGTGACAGTTTGTGGAGCTCCCGGCGATGGAAAAACAAGCATTGCTCTCAAGATGTGTGAGAAATATCTGCGAAAGAAATATGAAGTTGTATTTGTTGAAAACGTTGAAGAGTTTCAAGAAGATACAATAATTCAGCGACAGTGTCACATGCTGATTGTGTTTGATGATATATTTGGTTCTGGACCATTTCCGTCCAATGTGCAGAAAATCAAGAAGGTGTTGGCCAGACTGGCTGATGTTTTAGTAAACATCTCAGTTCAAATGGTAGAACAGGACAAGAAGAAGCGAGAGCAGAAAAAACTAAATGCAGACAAGAAGAAAAATGAGTCTTTGTCTGCTGCAGATGCAAAAAGCCTCTACAAAGTCCGCTTCATCTTTACATCTAGAACATACAACTGGAATGAAGGATGCAGCAGACTTCACCAGTTCAAAATAAATCTCTTCAACCCTGAGAGTGTTATCGATTTGGCCACAACTACTCTGACTACTGACGAAAGGAAATCTATAATAAATTCATTCTTGAAAAGAAATCAAATGTTTGACATCTCCAGTCAGGACAAGAACACAATTACACAGTTACAAGACAACATGTTTGGGTTTCCACTCATCTGTCAACTTTTCTGTACCAACCCAGCCTTCCAGATGCACAAAATTACTACCTTCTTTCAGAACCCTCTGACCTATCTGAGAGGTGACCTTGACGCAATTATCCGTGAAGGTAGCAGCAGATCGGCAGCCCTCGTTCTCCTTGTCCTGTGTGGGGGAAAGTTGGACCTTGTCTCCTTCAAGTCGGGGACAAGATGTGAAGCATTGTTTCAGGTTGTAAAGGAGGAAATACCATCCTGCACTCGTACAGACATCGGTAAGGAGATCAGCAACTTTACCGGCACCTACTGCACAGTAGAGAATCATGTAGCCTCCTTCTCTCATCCATCCATTCACGACGCCGCAGCATGTGCTTTGGGCCATCTCAATGAAGTGTTGTTACTGGAACATTGTTCTCTGCAGTTCCTATCTGAAAGAGTCAGACTTAACAGGGATGATGGCTTTCACTCAACCCACACTGATGATGTCACAAACATGATTTACATCACTTCCAGTCTACATCCATTGGTGATTACCAGATTGGTGCAAGGTGTCCGAGAGGGGTGTTTTAGATGGACAGTTGGTCACCCTATATTCAGCAACGTCCAAATAGCCTCCTCCTTCTTGACAGAAATGTCAGACCTGCCAGATGTTGTTCACAGAAAAGATACGAGCTCCGGTGAATGCTTTCTGTATTGGGTCTCACTTTCAACCAACCAGTCACTGTTTGAATGCTCATTGTCACTGATGTGTAGAGAGAGAGGCCTTTCAAATTCTGTTGTCACTGACTTCTACGATAGTATCATAGGCTGTATACAGAGTGGCAATCTACTGTATCTTCAGCTTATTGCTGCTGCACTCAAACAGCGTGACAGATTTGATGTAGATTACAGGACAAAGGGCCACAAAACACTGCTGATGGTTGCTGCTGTTGCAGGACAGTTGAATGTGTTCAACTTCCTACTGAAAGAGGGAGCTGATGTTTCAGCGACAGACAATCGACATTACAACTGTCTTCATCATTCATGTAAATCGGGGAGGCAGGATATAGTAAAAGTTCTTGTTAAACAGTTTCAACATCTGATCAATGTTGGTGATAAAGATGGAAACACCCCCGCAATTGTATGTGCTGTGTCAGGGCAAGTGGAAATCCTCAAACTTCTCGTTTCACACGAAGCAGATTTAACTAAGACGACTGAGTATAACAGGCTGAACATATTTCATATATGATGTATCCAAGGTCATGCTTCAGTCGTAGAATATTTGCTGACATGTGAAAACATAACCCTAGATAAGCGAGAAAGTCAGGGACAAACAGCACTGATGATGGCAGCAGCAAGAGGACACTATGATGTATATAATCTTCTTGTGTTGGAGGGAGCTGATCTGTCACTGACTGGTGACTACAACACTGACTGCTTGATGTTGGCATGTGAGGGAGGTAACATGTCTATAGTGAAACACCTCCTTTCCTCGAAAATATTTGACATCAATAGACAAGGGGTTTTTTTTAGACGGTCAGCTGTTATGGTCGCAGCAGTGGAAGGACACGATGTTGTATATAATCTTCTTGTGTCGGAGGGAGCCGATCTGTCACTGACTGATGTAGACAACAAGGAATGCTTGATGTTGGCAAGTGAAGGAGGTAACATGTCTATAGTGAAACACCTCCTTTCCTCGAAAATATTTGACATCAACAGACAAGGGGGGAGGTTTAGACAGTCAGCTGTTATGGTCGCAGCAGTGGATAGACACGATGTTGTATATAATCTTCTTGTGTCGGAGGGAGCCGATCTGTCACTGACTGATGTAGACAACAAGGACTGCTTGATGTTGGCAAGTGAAGGAGGTAACATGTCTATAGTGAAACACCTCCTTTCCTTGAAAATATTTGACATCAACAGACAAGGGGGTGTTTTTAGACAGTCAGCTGTTATGGTCGCAGCAGTGGAAGGACACGATGTTGTATATAATCTTCTTGTGTCGGAGGGAGCCGATCTGTCACTGACTGATGTAGACAACATGGACTGCTTGATGTTGGCATGTGAACGAGGCAACATGTCTATAGTGAAACACCTCCTTTCCTTGAAAACATTTGACATCAACAGGCAAAGGAGTTCTAACAGACAATCAGCAGTTATGATGGCAGCCACAAGCGGACACTATGATGTTTATAATCTTCTTGTGTCGGAGGGAGCTGATCTGTCACTGACTGATGTATACAACATGGACTGCTTGATGTTGGCAAGTGAAGGAGGCAACATGTCTATAGTGAAACACCTCCTTTCCTTGAAAACATTTGACATCAACAGGCAAAGGAGTTCTAATAGGCAATCAGCAGTTATGATGGCAGCTGTAAGCGGACACTGTGATGTATATAATCTTCTTGTGTCGGAGGGAGCTGATCTGTCACTGACTGATGACAACAACATGGACTGCTTGATGTTAGCAAGTGAACGAGGCAACATGTCTATAGTGAAACACCTCCTTTCCTTGAAAACATTTGACATCAACAGGCAAAGGAGTTCTGACAGACAATCAGTAGTTATGATGGCAGCTGCAAGAGGACACTATGATGTATATAATCTTCTTGTGTCGGAGGGAGCTGATCTGTCACTGACTGATAAATTCAACAAGGCCTGCTTGATGTTGGCATGTGAAGGAGGTAACATGTCTATAGTGAATCACCTCCTTTCCTTGAAAACATTTGACATCAACAGGCAAGGGGGGTTTAACAGACAATCAGCAGTTATGATGGCAGCTGCAAGCGGAAACTATGATGTATATAATCTTCTTGTGTCGGAGGGAGCTGATCTGTCACTGACTGATAAATTCAACAAGGACTGCTTGATGTTGGCATGTGAAGGAGGCAACATCTCTATAGTGGAACACCTCCTTTCCTTGAAACAATTAGGCCAGGGTCAAAGGGGATTAGAGGAATATATCACTTTTGCCGAAGAATGGTTCAACCAGAAAATAATGAATCTTGTGAGGTCCTCTTCATCACGATGATAGTTGCCCTGGACTGACGACAATAAAACTCTTGGATGGTTAATCACAGTCTGAACGTTGTGAACATCGTGTCTGAACAAGTGTATGACTTATACATAACTTGCATTGCACAGATGTATGTAACATGTTATGATGACCCCAGAAGAAAAAACATATCTGTGCTTCTCCGAGAGGGGATAAATCAATATTATGACTTTCAGTTTGAATATGGAGATATCGTTACATTCGTACATGCGTGCTACATATTATACCAATAATTCATTTTTACAATAGGCTAAGTTTGTGATCTGCATGAAAATGTCAGAGGAGAATTTCTTCAATTTTGATCAGTAGTTATTCAGTGGTATAAAATACTATCGGTTATGACACTGTTAAATTTTGATATTTGATTATCTAAATTTTATTAACACAACAAACCTGATTAGAAGTAATCAATACCAACCCCTTCAAACTGAGACCTCGGAGAAAATGCTTTTAGCTGCTTGGTTCTTGTCACTTTGTCTGACACTAATGTCGTAATGTTTCACAAATACTTTATTTGCCACACGTAACTGTTTTCGGAAACATATATAATATTGATCTCTGTTTTCATGACATAATTGTATTATTTCAACTTCTTCTTTTTTAAGAAAGGAAATTGTATGTTCATGTTAAGATGTCTCTGTCCTTTGTGACAAATATTCATCAACATAACTGTTAATAATAATAATAATAAATGGATATTTCTTATGCGCCATAGTCCATCCAGAGGATGCTCAAAGCGCTACATATAAAAAGAGTCACTGTTGTCTTCACTATATGGCTGAGATAGTGACTATGTGAGTCAGACATTCCACTCACTCACTCTTCGATATAACAGTGTACTACGGTTATGACAAGCACCCAGGGGTCACTTATTTTCTCCGTTATAACCGGAGTTCGTTATATCCATTATTGCTAAAATATGTAAAATAATGCGGGATTTCAAACTCGCTATATGTCGTGAGTTCGTTAAAAGCGTGTTTCGTAATAAACGTAATAAACATATCTGCATGTTGTTTAGCGCTCGCTCTACATTGAATAACCATATTGAATTTGACTCTAAGCTCAAAGATTGAAGTAGTTCCCTCTAACAATGTCTCAAAGAACTTAACCTGGGTATCTTATATCATCACATTATTGCTTGAACAAACAACTAGGTATCAGTGACGTGTCAAATGATACCACATATTAGACCAGAATATTAACTGGAGTAGCAATTTACCAAAAGATGGCAGCACCTCTGACCTGGCTCCACATGTCCAAACAATCATTCCAAAGAGATACCTAAGAAATGTACAGACGAATCCGTGTCTCACAGATTGATGTTATGCCTCCAGTCAAGGAATGATATTCTTATATTCACAGAAGGTATTTGAGTCAGGTTGGATAAATCTCAATCGATTTTTTTGTACTTGTGCAAACAAATATGAATGTATTTCAGTTTATAATCATATTACCAGTTTGTCAGCCAATTGCATGTAAAGAGGCCATGTCATATATTCACACTTAATAACAATTGAATTTCATTGACACCTGTTAACGATAGACATTTAAATAACAATTATCCTTCTAAACAAAGGATTGGAAAATATGCAAAAGGAAAATATGATTTCAGTATCATAACATGAAAATGGGCTGTAGGTGATTTTCTCTATTAAACCAAATGTCCAGTGTTTGATACGGTTTAAGCTAATGCCTTTCAACAGCGGCAACATGGACTTTGTTTTGTACTCTACGATTGACATTTGTGTAGAACTGATTTCATTTGAATTATGCTCCATGGCAAAATAGAACCAATTTGAATTCTTGTTATTCCTTGATAAATATATCGATTAGTTATCTATATTTTGTTTGTTGCCTTTCATCTGTAAATGATTATTTGTTTATTTTGTCCACAATTGATACTTTGCACAGATGTTTGTATTTATTTTCATTTATTAATAAATCTGGATATCTTAATAAGATTTATTTTGTCGTACTTCTGTCAGATTATTCCAGATTTTCATTTCTCAGCTGCACATTCAAGGTGTCAAATTTATCAATTGTATATTTGCTTGATCCGTTTCCATTGGGTTTTACGAAACTTTTGCTGCATTGAGAATACTATTTACTAGCTATAGGGCTGGCTAAAATGATCGATAATCGGAAATATCATCGATCGGAAATATTATTAATGATTATCAACATAAAAACTTATGTTATAGATAATATCGTATATCAACTTTGTGAAAGAAAAAAGGTTTAATGTTCTCAGATAATATACAAACCATGACTCTTTTCATGGTCTGCTTCTGCTTCTTTGTCACAACTCACCAGTGATGTGAAATATTTTCATTTCTTGCAGACATGTTTTTGGCGTTTTTGCTCAAATTTATGTCTCCGATATTTATCGATTATTGATCTCTATTATCCATGTTAATAGCCAGCCCTACCTTTCACAAGCATTTCTAAACCAACAGTGATGTAAGATTGCTACACACTTGTGACTTAAGTTATGAAAAGGGGAGGATTATGAAAAATATTTAAACATAATTCTGCCATGCCCACACCCCATCTATATTTACACTATTTTATACACATGTCTATTGACTCATGATATCAGTAGGGTTTAAAAAACTGATACTACATTGATCAGCATCGTAACACATAATCTCACTGACATGCTGACAAGTCACGGTTGGTATACAATAGATTAGGTACGTAAGTACATCTGAGTGCACATCCGTCACCAGTGATGTATTTATTACATGTATATTACATGTGTGGCCGACATGTTCATTAACCCGTAACCTGTGACAATGACATCATCCCATTGTCATTGGGAATTTTAAACCTTTGAAAAAAACTCATTTGACGTCATCTCACACATTTGTGTTGTTGTGTGGTCATCTGACTCGTGTGATCTCACCCTGATCAAGTGAGTTTGTTCAACATTGTCTCTGGTCACCTACCAGTGAATGGGTACCCGGTGGGAAAAGTCATATGACTGTTAACCTTGCTGAAGATCAATTTTATCCAGGGATTGTGGGAATTACAGGGAAATTGTGCACTTGGCCACAACGACTTGCGGAAACTGTTCGTAATTGACTGGAATAATCAAATAATTGATGTGACCTGTTAGGATTGCAGAAAACAAAAATAACAGCACTCGAGTTATAATACAGCGTATCAGCTACAAGTGGAAGGAAACTTTTGAGAACTGGTGGGGTGCTGGCAGATCTACAACTGGATTCGAACTGACGTCCATAGGCTTCTGGCGTAGACAAAGGTCTCAACTGTACTAACCGTTCTTCACACAAAGGTTGTTTATTGTACGATTTTCCCCCACATTTAGCCGAGGGTCACAAGGTTGCTTTCGGTAGTTTATTTATGGTTCTTAAGGAATTGTACATGTCATATGGGTTAGAACTGTTCCTCAGTAACCCATGCTTGTATTGAAAAGCGACGAACGGAATCGAGTGGTCAGGCTCGCTAACTTGGTTGACAAATGTCATCGTATCCTAATTGTGCAGATCGATGCTCATGCTGTTGATCACTGGATTGTCTCGTCCAGACTCGAATATTTGCAGATCGCCGCCATATAGCTGAATAGCGAATGTTTTGATACGATATATGTTGTCTCTAGAATCCGACACAGTTGAAGTCGGATTGGTGGAACGCATATTCAGATGAACGTTAACGTTAATTTCTGACTTAGATGACACACGTCGATGCTCATAATTGACCACTGAGTTGTCTAGCTTTCGCTCGTCACGTCGAAGAACTGGGTTCAATTCATTACATATGTACAATGTGCGAGGCCCATTTCTCGTGTCCTCCTCTGTGATATTGCTGGATATTGCTTAAAAGAACCACACTCACTCACTCACTGAAACACACCCCAAAACCCCACTCACCCACTCACCCACTCACTCACTCACTCACTCCAATATTTTAATCATGGCGAACACATAACATGAAGACAATTCCCGATGGTGCAGACATGTAAATATAATGAGCAAGATTCAACACTACGCAGTCGGACACCCTCCACAATGACACATATTCGCACAATAAATAATGATGAAAACCGTCTTGTGCAGAGTCATATTTTATTAAGAAATTAACTTGGTATTGCGTCTATACATTTAAAGTGAGTGTATGAGTGAGTGAATTAAAATTTTACGTCACATCGGTAATTTCAGGAATATAGTGATATATTGAGAATTATACAATTCAAGAGATTGTGGGTTAAAACGTGGTCTAGTGGTCATGTTAAAACATACAACAATTAGTCTGCTACTACAGGTCATCTACAGGTCCGTCCCGTCGTCTAGTGGTCATGTTAAAACATACAACAAATAATCTGCTACTACAGGTCATCTACAGGTCTGTCCCGTGGTCTAGTGGTCATGTTAAAACATACAACAAATAATCAGCTACTACAGGTCATCTACAGGTCCGTCCTGTGGTCTAGTGGTCATGTTAAAACATACAACAAATAATCTGCTACTACAGGTCATCTACAGGTCCGTCCTGTGGTCTAGTGGTCATGTTAAAACATACAACAAATAATCAGCTACTACAGGTCATCTACAGGTCCGTCCTGTGGTCTAGAGGTCATGTTAAAACATACAACAATTAATCTGCTACTACAGGTCATCTACAGGTCCGTCCTGTGGTCTAGTGGTCATGTTAAAACATACAACAAATAATCAGCTACTACAGGTCATCTACAGGTCCGTCCCGTGGTCTAGTGGTCATGTTAAAACATACAACAAATAATCTGCTACTACAGGTCATCTACAGGTCCGTCCTGTGGTCTAGAGGTCATGTTAAAACATACAACAATTAATCTGCTACTACAGGTCATCTACAGGTCCGTCCTGTGGTCTAGTGGTCATGTTAAAACATACAACAAATAATCAGCTACTACAGGTCATCTACAGGTCCGTCCCGTGGTCTAGTGGTCATGTTAAAACATACAACAAATAATCTGCTACTACAGGTCATCTACAGGTCCGTCCTGTGGTCTAGAGGTCATGTTAAAACATACAACAATTAATCTGCTACTACAGGTCATCTACAGGTCCGTCCTGTGGTCTAGTGGTCATGTTAAAACATACAACAAATAATCAGCTACTACAGGTCATCTACAGGTCCGTCCCGTGGTCTAGTGGTCATGTTAAAACATACAACAAATAATCTGCTACTACAGGTCATCTACAGGTCCGTCCTGTGGTCTAGAGGTCATGTTAAAACATACAACAATTAATCTGCTACTACAGGTCATCTACAGGTCCGTCCTGTGGTCTAGTGGTCATGTTAAAACATACAACAATTAATCTGCTACTACAGGTCATCTACAGGTCCGTCCTGTGGTCTAGTGGTCATGTTAAAACATACAACAAATAATCCGCTACTACAGGTCATCTACAGGTCCGTCCCGTGGTCTAGAGGTCATGTCAAAACATACAAGAAATCATCTTCTGCAGGTCATTTTCAGGTCCGTCCCGTGGTCTTGTGAACAGAGTTCGATCCCCGGTGCGTCATAGCAACAGACTTTGAAAGGTTATATTTTTACAATGTCCCGCGATTAAACAGGGACAAGTCAACTGGGAGCCGGAATCTGGGTTTGAGTCTGGCTCGATGTCAAAATGACGTATGGTTTAAACAATGGGGGTGAACAACAAAACAGCCCGGATAAGTTCGAGCAGCAACATTGTGCATGCACGTCGCCATATAAGAAAACACACACATAAACACCACGTTGACCCCTCTCACCAGAGTGGCAGAATACGATGCAATAGAATTACAATATTATTTTGTAAAATAGCACAATAGGGCTGATATCAATGGCGTCAGAAATAATAAAATTAACCTAAAAACAACCGCGGTCAAGCTTCCAAAATAGGCCTATCCTTGATAGACTGGGTGAGAGTATGATCATACATCCATTGAAGGTATTATATGATGCTTCAGAGATAAACTGTGATAATTATTAACTGGTATTGCAACAATATTCTACTTTATACATTCACCTTGCTTTACCAATACAGGAACCTGTACCATGAGAGGCTGGGTGAAACTAGGATCATATATCCCAAGTAGGTACACGATGCTTCAGAGATAAAACGGTGATAATTATTAACTGGTATTGCAACAATATTTTACATAGTACACTCACCTTCATTTACCAATGCATGAATCGTTAAAGTGAAAAGAGTAAAATGTTGTCGAAAGTTAATGAACAAATATTACTACTGACAAATTTGTATTAATTGAATACAACTTCATATGTTAGCAATCTATTGAAGGGTATTAGCATGCCACAATCTAATTAAAATAGATTTTATTTACACAGATGTTACTTATACCTCCATATATGATATACAATCGTTACTCAGACTGTGATATTGTCTTGTGAAGTTCCAATCCTCGTTGGATACAGTTTATACAACTATATTAATGGTTTATTTAGAGGATTAGTAGCACGCTGGTCGTTTACGTTCAGTTAACATTTTCTGCATTTACACCATTTACCAAAATCATTTCAAATTATCAAACTATCATGGTTAAAGTATATACAAAGCTCAATTAAATTCATGTAAAAAAATCTTCTATCATGAAAGTATCATTACATCAATCTACGCAATTAGGATCCAATGATATCTGCCAAGCAGGTCAGCGTGCCTGTTAGCCGCCTCTTACGACAAGCATGGATTGCTGAAGACCAATTCTAACCCGGATCTTCACGGGTCCCACGTAAGGGTGAGTGAGTTTAATTTTACGCCTCTTTCTTAGCAATGTCAATGTGGGGAACACCAAAATGGGCTTCACACATTGTACATAAATGGGGAATCGAACCCGGGCGAACGCGTTCACCACTAGGCTACACCACCATCCCCAAGTTAGTAAGACGAGTCCTGTGGTCAACGGTATCGAACAGAATCATTGCTGCACCATCGGTGTCGACGGCTTGAAGAGTTTCATTCTTCACCAACCCATGCTTGTCGTATATCGTCTATCTCTACAGCTCCTCCCGAGAAAAAAGGATCCACCCACAGCCGGATGACGTCAGACGTGAAGCTCGGCACCTGAAACATAAGGCAATGTTTAATTAACGACGAAACAACCAAAAAAGGATTATCATCTAATGGAGGGTGTTGTCGGTGCAATAAAGCAATCTGATACACTTGGAATCCAAATCTGATAACTATGCAAACACGGGTTTGTAAACAAACATGGTTGCCCCCATTCTCAAAATTAGTGATTCTGTAAGAATTGACGACAGAGGTTCTGGAGTCGTTACTGCAGTAATTAATTGACTTTGGAAAACATGAAACGGAGAAGTTCGTTCAAATTGGAGGTACGGATTATGAGGTACCGGTGACAGGCTATCGTCTAAGAAAGGTACCAACCAAAGATTTCGATCTATCGATCACAACAAAGAAGACGACGAATCGATTCCGTCAGGTATCAGAAACTGATACTGATGAGGTGATTACTCGCAATGAAAATAGAAAAAACTACCAAGAAATCCCTGCATGATTTTGTTGTTCTTTTTAGACAGAAAGATCTGATTTTAGGCATGAGTTATGTTTGCACTGCATTAGCGACTAGTCACAACCATATGCTGCTGTCATGAACGACCTTCACTCTGTTGTATAGCTAAGTATTCTTACGCGAATGCTCGATTCTCTTCATATATAAATTCACGTACGATTTGCTTCTTTTTTAGAGCAATTGTAAGAATGACATTATATGATAAAGAGATTATTAACATCGTGTGTTTACCTATCATTTATTTCATATATTAGGAATAAAAAATATGTATTATGCTCGCTAAAGGTCAAATACAATTTCTATTCCTAATATATGATATTAATGATACGGAAACACACGATGTTAATAATCTCTATTTCTGTGATGCTGTGGCTTTGCTATGTGGCGTTGGTATGTGACGTCGGTATGTGGCGTTGGTATGTGGCGTTGGTATGTGGCGTTGGTATGTGGCATTGGAATGTGACGTTGGTATGTGACGTCGGTATGTGGCGTTGGTGTGTGGCGTTGGTATGTGACGTCGGTATGTGGCGTTAGTATGTGACGTCGGTATGTGACGTCAGTATATGACGTTGGTATGTGGCGTTGATACGTGACGTCAGTATGTGACGTCGGTATGTGGCGTTGATATGTTACGTTGGTTAGTGGCGTTTGTATGTGACGTTGGCATGTTGGTCTGTGACGTTAATTTGGCAATTCTGAGTTGGGTTAGAATAGTGCTACCGAACATATTCACAACAACTTCATGGATGTCTCAACAGTGTGAGATGTTTCTTGTGAATTGTAAAAAATGTTATCGATGAGTAAGGCAGTATTATGTCTGACGCAGTGGTACGAAGAATGTTGAAGACTTTATACTTAACCTAAGCCAGTTATCATTTGCATGACCAGGTACCCCAAGTCAAACGCCATCTTTGTGGCAAAGTACCTTGAGGCATATACCCTCTGTATGGCCAGTATCTTGAGGCATATACCCTCTGTATTGCCAGTATTTTGAGGCATATGCCCTCTGTGTGGCCAGTACCTTGAGGCATATGCCCTCTGTATGGCCAGTACCTTGAGGCATATGCCCTCTGTATGGCCAGTACATTGAGGCATATACCCTCTGTATGGCCAGTACCTCGAGGCATATGCCCTCTGTATGGCCAGTACCTTTAGGCATATACCCTCTGTATGGCCAGTACATTGAGGCATATACCCTCTGTATGGCCAGTACCTTGAGGCATATGCCCTCTGTATGGCCAGTACCTTGAGGCATATACCCTCTGTATGGCCAGTACATTGAGGCATATACCCTCTGTATGGCCAGTACCTTGAGGCATATACCCTCTGTATGGCCAGTACCTTGAGCCATATACCCTCTGTATGGCCAGTACATTGAGGCATATACCCTCTGTATGGCCAGTACCTTGAGGCATATACCCTCTGTATGGCCAGTACCTTGAGGCATATACCCTCTGTATGGTACCAGCATATACCCTCTGTATGGCAGTATGAGGCATATACCCTCTGTATGGCCAGTACCTTTAGGCATATGCCCTCTGTATGGCCAGTACCTTGAGTCAAATAAGCTCTGTATGGCCAGTACCTTGAGGCATATACCCTCTGTATGGCCAGTACCTTGAGGCATATACCCTCTGTGTGGCCAGTACCTTGAGGCATATACCCTCTGTATGGCCAGAACCTTTAGGCATATACATGTACCCTCTGTATGGCCAGTATCTTGAGGCATATACCCTCTGTATGGCCAGTACCTTGAGGCATATATCCTCTGTATGGTCAGTACCTTGAGGTATATGCCCTCTGTATGGCCAGTTCCTTGAGTCAAATAAGCTCTGTTCGACCAAGTAACTCGAACCATATCCCATCTGTGTGGCCCGGTATCCCGAGTCCAAAGATAGGAAATGAGTAGGGACGTTTCGTATTGTCAGGCGATTAATTGCTTTTGTTTAGGGTCTATGCACCACTATGCCACTTTGATGTTTGGCTATTTGTTGTTTAACGCCGCACTCTGCAATATTCCAGCTATATGGCGACGGTCCCTACATAATCCAGTCTGGACCAGACAATCCAGTGATCAGCAGCATGAGCATCGATCTACGCAATTGGGATACGATAACATGTGTTAACAAGTCAGCGAGCCTGACCGCCTGATCCCGTTAGTCGACTCTAACGACAAACACTGGTTGTTAAAGACCAGTTCTAACCCAGATCTCCACGGATTGCATCAATAAGATGCTATGCACAGATAACATAGATTGGGGAAAAGGGGGGAGAATAAGTACTTACACTGTTCAGAGTGACTTTAAAGATTCGGGCGTCAGAAAGGAAAGGAACATGGATGGAATAATACGCAGACACATATTGCCCATCAGGTTTCATAATCTCCACCTTCCACGTTGGGCCTGCGCGGTACGTCTCATACACGTGCACTTCCGTGATGTAGAGTTTCATGGCGAACTTCAACTGCAAACACATATGACTGAACAAGATCACAAATGGATTTGTAACTCCTGACGGCCAGTTTCACGATCTCCAATTATCGCACAGCTGGGATATTAAGCCCGTTCACGAGATCACGAGATCACGAGATCACGAGATCCCTTACGATATTTGATAGTAACTCCAGACGGCATAACTTAGCTTCAAACGTTTTCAAACCACAATACTTAGACATAGAGATTCCTGCTCTAAGACGGGAAGGTCACACACACTCAGATGCACACACAGGCACAAGCGTACACAAGCACACACACACGTACATACATGCATGTACTAACACATACACACATGCTTACAAACACACTTACTTTTCACACATACACACACATGCATACATACCTACACATACAGACAGACAGACATACAGACACACACACACACACACACATACCTACATACCTACCTACCTACCTACCTACCTACCTACCTACATACATACATACATACATACATACATACATACATACATACATACATACATACATACATACATACATACATACATACATACATACATACATACATACATACATACATACATACATGCATACATGCATACATGCATACATGCATACATACATACATACATACATACATACATACATACATACATACATACATACATACATACATACATACATACATACATACATACATACATACATACATACATACATACATACATACATACATACATGCTCACCTTTATATATTGGTTGTATTTCAGGCTGTGTAGATTAGACTGCCCCCACGCTTTAACGTTGTGGCCGTAGGTAGGGTACACATCCGGCTCTCCAAGCGCTTCGGTTGCGGCGCTGACAAACATGAAATGTTATCATCTGAGTATGTGTGTGTGTGTGTGTGTGTGTGTATGAGAGAGAGAGAGTGAGAGAGAGAGAGAGAGATTTGTGTGTCGTCTGTGTGTAAGATATGATGTGGCGTGTCTGTGTGATATTGATGTGGGTGTGTGATATTGAAGTGGTGTGTGTATCTGTGTGTGTGATATTTATGTGTGTTTCTGGTATCGATATGGTGTGTGTATGTGATATTGACTTGTGTATCTGTGTTTGTGATAGTAATATGTGTGTGATATTGATGTAGTGTATGTATCTATGTGTGATGTTGATGTGATGTGTGTATCTGTGTGTGATATCGATGTGGTGTGTGTGATATTGATGTTGTTAGTGTATCTGTGTGTGATATTGATGTGGTTAGTGTATCTGTGTGTGATATCGATGTTGTTAGTGTATCTGTGTGTGTGATATTGATGAGTGTATCTGTGTGTGTGATATTGATGAGTGTATCTGTGTGTGTGATATTGATGAGTGTATCTCTGTGTGTGATGTTGGTGTGTGTATCTCTGTGTGTGATATTGGTGTGTGTATCTGTGTGAAATATTGATGTGGTTAGTGTATATGTGTGTAAAAATGGTTGTGTGAATCTGTGTGTGTGATGTTGATGTGTGTATCTGTGTGTATGATATTGATGTGTGTTTATGTGGTTAGTGTATCTGTGTGTGTGATATTAATTTGTGTATCTGTGTCTGTGTGCTATTAATGTGGTTAGTGTATCTGTGTTTTTGATATTGATGTGTGTATCTGTGTGTGCGATATTGATGTGATGTGTATCTGTGTGTATAATGTTAATGTGGTGTTTGTATCTGTGTGTGATATTGATATGTGTTTATATTTGTGTGTGATGTTCATATGTGTTTATCTGTGTGTGCTATATGTGTGTGTATCTGTGTGTGTAATATTGATGCCTGCATCTGTGTGTGTGTGATATTGATATGTGTTTATCTGTGTGTGATATTGATGCGTGTATCTCTGTGTGTGATATTGATGTAGTGTGCATCTGTGAGTGTGATATTGATGTGTGTATCTGTGTGTGATATTGGTGTGTGTATCTGTGTGATATTGATGTGGTGTTTGTATCTGTGTGTGTTATATTCATGTTTGTATTTGTGTGTGATATTGATGTGGTGTTTATATACGTGTGTGCATGATATTGATGTGGTTAGTGTATCTATTTTTTTATATTGATGTGTGTATCTGTGTGGGTGATATTGATGTCTGTTTATCTATTTTTCTGATATTGACGTGTGTTTATCTGTGTGACTAATATTGATGTGATGTTTGTATATGTGTGTGTGATATTGATGTGTGTATCTGTGTGTTTATCTGTGTGTGATATTGACGTGGTTAGTGTATCTGTATATGTGATATAAATATGTGTATCTGTGTCTGTGTGATATTAATGTGGTTAGTGTATCTGTGTTTTTGATATTGATGTGTGTATCTGTGTGTGTGATATTGATGTGGTGTTTGCATCTGTGTGTGTGATATTAATGTGTTTATCTGTGTGTATGATGCTGATGTGGTGTTTGTATCTCTGTGTGATATTGATATGTGTTTATCTTTGTGTGTGTGATGTTCATATGTGTTTATCTGTGTGTGATGTTTATGTGTGTATCTGTTTGTGTGATATTGATATGTGTTTATCTGTGTGTGATATTGATGCGTGGATCTGTGAGTGTAATGTTGATGCGTGTATCTCTGTGTGTGTGATATTGATGTGGTGTGTGCATCTGTGTGTGTGATATTGATGTGTGTATCTGTGTGTGATATTGGTGTGTGTATCTGTGTTATATTGATATGGTGTTTGTATCTCTGTGTGTGATATTGATGTGTGTATTTGTGTGTGATATTGATGTGTTTATTTACGTGTGTGTATAATATTGGTGTGGTTAGTGTATCTGTTTTTTACATTGATGTATGTATCTGTGTGTGATATTGATGTGTTTATCTGTGTGTGATATTGATGTGTGTTTATCTGTGTGTGTGATATTGATGTGTGTTTATCTGTGTGTGTGATATTGATGTGTGTTTATCTGTGTGACTAATATTGATGTGGTGTTTGTATCTGTGTGTGTGTGATATTTATGTGTGTGTATCTGTGTGTGTGATATTGATGTTCGCTTATCTCCGTGTGTGATATTGATGTGTGTGTATCTGTGTGTCTGATATTGATGTGGTTTTTGTATTTATTACCCACGAGGTCAACGTATTGGTAGTTGCATACTAATCTCGTACGTCACACGAGTGTCGTATCGCGTTGACCTGTGTCGTCACGACTTGACCTGAGATTCTAACGATTTGATTGGATAACCGATTACCTCTCAATTAGGTCACATTCTGACGTAACTATTTTTTCATTCATAACAAATACGTGAATTCATTAATTCTACAACTTAAATGCATTGTGGGAATGTAAACATTGCGAACGTTGCCGTGTCGCTGTTTAATTGTGAGTCGAACTGAGACATTATATCCGTCGAAAAACATAAACGCAATGTTTCCACCAGTGATGTTAGCCGAATGAAGCAACTGGAAACCAAGAAACGATGTGCTACGGAGTAGTTTACTGTAGGAGGCTGTACGAGGCGATGACAACTGACATGCATCGTGACGTCGGTTACCAAGGCAGTGACGCCATTACATTGTGACGTCATGCAAATATTGTACTACAGTACAAAACTCTTCCGCAACCTCTATGAACCGGTTTCGGTTTGAAACCAAAAAACATAACAAAAATACGCTATTTTGTCAATTTAATGCATGTAAGGCGTGGGTAATAAATAAAATACCACACTCGGTCTCTTTACATACGAATTATACGAAACTCGTGACCTTCCTATGTTAACTGACCTCGCTTTCGCTCGGTCAGATAGCATAGGAAGGCCACTCGTTTCGTATAATTCGTATGTAATGAGACCTCGTGTAGTATTCTCTATGTATGTGTCTGATATTGATGAGGTGTGTGTGATTTTAATGTAGTGTTTGTATCTCTGTGTGTGATATTGATGTGATGTGTGCATCTGTGTGTGATATTGATATGGCCTCTGTGTGTGTGTGTGTTCGTGTGCGCGCGCGCGTGTGTATGTGTGATAGATATGCGATAAAGATAAAGAACCTCTTCTTCTTTTTGGATGACATACACTTCTATTATATCCAAAACAGTCTTTAGGTCAATGTAATTAAATGAGCTGGTGATAAGTTTCGTTTGGAAACTAATAATGCTAATACTTTTATTATCTTTTGCCAAGATGATTACGTGTGCGGATTTAGCAGGTGCGCGTGATTGCTCGAAAATAACAAGAACCGTCAGTTTATGCTACATGAAATGAATTTGTGCAGTGATAAAGGGCTACTTTCACATTTTATGAGTTTTGCAGTCGTGGTGTTATGTCTTCCAAAATGACGACACATATAAAAATCTCCACAAACAAACTGTTTACGCGCTACTTTCTGCATCTTTCGATGTCTTTAGTCTGACGAATCTGAAAACAAAGTATCCTGGTCATTGATTAGTGTATTGAAGATAAAAACGGTAAAAAATAGTTACTTGACTCCAGAGTCCCCCTGTGACGAGAAGCCCAACACAGCCATCGCCCACAGTCCCACCTCTACAATAAAGACAAGATGTAGATTAGAATTTGTACATCAACTACCACTTGTTACGAATGGTAACCATGGGTGGTAGGTAGCCGAGTGGTTCACGCATTCGCTCGTCACATCGGAGTCCTGGGTTCAATTATTTACCTGCTACTTGTTGCCTTACCAATAATACGAATGGTAACCATGGATGGTGGGTAGCCGAGTGGTTCACGCATTCGCTCGTCACATCGGAGTCAATCAATCTTTTTTCATACTGGAGGCCACAGGCCCATAGTATACAAGAACATAGTACACAATATCATAGAAAAGAATACAAATAGTCAAATCACAATATGTCATATTGCATCAAAATGTATCACATCATATAACATCGCATTACACATACTTTGTCGTATCACATCATATCTATCACCCCATATTACATCATGTCATATCATACCATGTATCATATCATATCATATCGCACCACATCATACCATATCGTAACAAAGAGCAATATGAGTACTACATTCTATGAATTATTATGTTTATTTCTTAGAGACAATGCTTGATAGATAAAGGTTGACAACTTACGGATAAGAACATTGTCATCAGTACTCATTAACAAAGAAAATTACACCCTTTCGGGATATACAGAATAATATCTTGGGACATTTTTTTTCTTTACTAACAATATAATGGGCAAATTAAGAGGAAGTGATATTCATCTTCTACACAATTAAGATCACAAAATGTACAAATTCTATTTTCCCTCTCTATTTTATGATATCTCCCTGTTTCGATTGCCAAGTCATGTGAGGAACACCTAAACCGAGCAAAAGCCTTTCGAAATTTCTTGATATTTAGTGAGAGCAGATAATTCTCTCTGTATATATGGGATTTAAACATTCTATAATAGAAACATTTACTTGACAATGACAGTGCTCCTACCCATTCTTGTGTATATATATCTTTGAGCCTTTGAGTAACATTATTCACAAAATTTGCATGAAAGTCAACATTTTGCCTTTGCCATACCTCCCCAAAACCTATTGTATTTAACAATTCTCGAATGTTAGTCACCCAGTTAGTCTTCCCGTTGTTATCGTACATTAACATCATATCATAACACTGTCTAGGGTATCTATCAGATGGCATATATAACAGACGTATCCAATATTTTATTATTCTATCTTTAGCAAATATGTGTATTGGAAATCTTCCACAATCTCCATATACCATGGCATTAGGGGTACTTACTTTCACTCCTAAAAATTTCTTGCAAGTATATAAATGTATTTTCTCAATTACGTCAATATTATTGAAACCCCATACCTCTGAACCATACAATAGAATGGGAAGGATTTTTGTATCAAATATTTTGAAAAAAGAATGATAATCAATATCTACGAGTTTGTAAATGCTTTTGAGAACCCCAATAAGAACCTTTTAGGCTAGTGTGGAACAATATTTAGCATGTGCTGAAAAGCCAAGACGATTAGTGAAGTAGACTCCAAGGTATTTATATGATTGTGTGACTTGGAGCGGCTCTCCTTTATAATACCATTTTCCGTTTTAGATAGTTTGCCCCCAATTTTTGAATACGACTATTCTAGTTTTCTCAAAATTAACAGTTAATCCTGACTCATTCCAATAATGTTCCAACTCAAGTATATGCCTTTGTAATCCAACAACAGTAGTCGCAAACAGAATCATATCATCGGCAAACAACAATAAAAACAATTGTGTAAAATAGGGATGTAACTGGATACCATGAGTAACATTTTGTTGTATTATCGAAGCAAATTCATTGATGAACATTGAGAACAGGAATGGAGTCCTGGGTTCAATTATTTACCTACTACTTGTTGCCTTACCAATAATACGAATGGTAACCATGGGTGGCGGGTAGCCGAGTGGTTCACGCATTCTCTCGTCACATCGGAGTCCTGGGTTCAACTATTTACCTGCTACTTGTTGCCTTACCAATAATACGAATGGTAACCATGGGTGCTGGGTAGCCGAATGGTTCACGCATTCTCTCGTCACATCGGAGTCCTGGGTTCAATTATTTACCTTCTACTTGTTGCTTTGCCAATAATACGAATGGTAAACAGGGGTGATGGGTAGCCGAGTGGTTCACGCAATCGCTTGTCACATCGGAGTCCTGGGTTCAATTATTAATCTTCTACTTGTTGCTTTACCAATAATACGAATGGTAAACAGGGATGGTGGGTAGCCGAGTGGTTCACGCATTCGCTCGTCACATCGGAGTCCTGGGTTCAATTATTTACCTTCTACTTGTTGCTTTACCAATAATACGAATGGTAAACAGGGTCGATGGGTAGCCGAGTGGTTCACGCAATCGCTTGTCACATCGGAGTCCTGGGTTCAATTATTAATCTTCTATTTGTTGCCTTACCAATAATACGAATGGTAATCAGGCGTGGCGGGTAGCCGAGTGGTTCACGCATTCTCACGTCACATCGGAGTCCTGGGTTCAATTATTTACCTTCTACTTGTTGCTTTACCAATAATACGAATGGTAAACAGGGGTGGTGGGTAGCCGAACGGTTAACGCTTTCTCTCGTCACAACGAAGTTCCGGGTTCAATCCCCTCATATGAACTGTGTGCAAATACCATTTGTGGTGGTTCCCTCCCCACATGTTAGATATTGAAACTTCACTGTTTCATTTGCTGAAGATTGACAGCACGTGTTTTCTAAATGAATAAAATCTTTTAGGTAAAGGTTTAACCACTGTCAAATTATATTTTCGCTTAATTATATTATATTTTGAGAATGGTTTGAGGATGATGCATTATTACAGACGAGTTTCATACCTTGTGATGTAGCCGGCGTAGTTGTCGTTGGTGTAGTCGTGGTAGTGGATGTAGTTGCAGTTGTTGATGAAGTACTAGTAGTAGGAGGAGATGGAGTGGTAGTAGTAGTAGTAGTAATAGTAGCAGCAGCAGTAGCAGTAGCAGCAGTAGTAATAGTAGAAAAAGTCGTAGGTGGTATAGTAGTAGATGGGGTGGTAGTAGTAGGTGGAGTCGTATGCGGAGTAGCAGAAGCAGTAGTGGAAGAAACAGAAGTACTCGTAGGAGCAATGTTGGTGAGGAAGGCAGTCGTCATGGTATCGGTAGTTGTGGCAGAGGTTGAGAATTTTGACGAGGTAGTTGTCGCCAATGCAGTTGATGCAGATGTCATTGTTGTCATAGCCGCTACAGCGGGAGACGTTGTGGAGTCTGTAGTTGTAGTCATTGGAGTTGCAGCATTGATGGTTGATGTGGACGAAACACCTTAACTGTTATCTGTACTATTATTCGTCAAGTTATACAGTGAAGAGGTTTAGGTCAGAATTACGGAAGAATTACGAATGTTTTCTCTTTTAAGTGGCAATATCTACAAAACTGGAATTGGGATTCGTTCACCAAATAATAAGGCAAAATAATCTTGACTTACATTTTACAGAGTAACTTCTTATGAACATGCTGAATGTGACTCAAAGAAACAAAAATAGATTTCACGGCCACCGACAAAGGGCAGGCATTTACAAAACCTTTGGAATTATCTCTTATGACATATGGACCGTTAATCATCTAAATTGGGCAACATAAATTTGTCCATTAGGAAATCATAAATCTACCCATTTCAGGTTATTTCTACTCAAACATGGGTAATTCTTATATTTCCACTTCAGGTTCGGTCTGTTCAAACATAGGTAATACTAAAATTTCACCAAACGGAAATAATTAAATTACCCATCTCATTTCCGGTCACATCTCATTTCCGGTCACATCTAATTTCCGGTCAAGTCTTTGAAGGGAAGTCATTACGGTTCGTATTTCAGGGTCGTTGAAGTCACCAAAGGGAAATCGTTACATTACCCATCTCAGTGTTTGTAGGGAAACACCGCCTCCGTGGTGTAGCGTTTAGAGCGTTCGCCCGGAGAGCGGAAGGTCGCGGGTTCGATCCCCGACCGCGTCATACCAAAAGACGTTAAAATATGGTACTTGTTGGTCCCTGCCTGGCGCTCGGCATTAATGGGTACAACAAGGCCTGGTCTGCTCGGAGTCAGTATAAGGCGTCTGAGTCTGGTATTCATGCTTCACTGCGACGTGGTATCTCAGTGGGCTAGCACTATTAAACCAGCTTCAGTCTGGGCTAGTACAAGCAGCCGCACATGCACATACACACGCATGCACGTCGTCATATGAGCGAAATATTCTCAAGCACGACGTTAAACCCAATTTCACCTCACCTCACCTCACCTTACCTCACCTCACCTCACCTCACCTCACCTCACCTCACCTCACCTCACCTCACCTCACCTTGTAGGGAAAGAAGCATATAAAAGAGATAAATCTGTCACAGAAGCATGACACACACGGCCGATTAGAGGAAAACTGATACATACAAAAGCCACTCTTTTCAGGTAACATTTCACCATACGGTACCAGTTTGCTGTGAAATCAACATTACATAAAGAGGCGAATAACGGGATTGGCAGGCTCGCACACGTGGTTGATTGAGGTCATCGTATCCCAATTGCGTAAAAATGCTCAAAGCCATCACTGGTTTGATAGGCCCAGATTCGATCGATAATTTACAGAGAACCGTCACACAGTGGGAAACCCGCCAATGAAAAGAAGGACAAATCGAAAAATACTAGTGTTCAACCTTTTCATTTTGATTGGTCTGTTAGTTGTTGTTTTACGCCGCACTCAACAGTCTTCCAGCTCTATGGCGGCTGTCTGTAAATAATGGAGTCTTGACCAGACAATCCAGTGATCAACAGCTTGAGCATCGATCTACGCAATTGGGATACGACAGTGAGCCTGACAACCCAATCCCATTAGTCACCTATTACGACACGCATGGGTTACTGAAGATCAATTCTAACCCGGATCTTCACGGGTCTTTCAATGCATGTCTACTATAACATTGGTCTTGGTACCTTCATGCGTTGTCGTAAGGACAGTCGGAGTGAGTGTTGTTGTTGTTGTTGTGTACGCCGTTGTTGTTGTTGTCATCTGGGGTACTGCACCTGTTCGATAAACAATGCATCCTACTACAAGTTGGAATCCAAGGTATGATTCATCATATCACTATCCAAATTATATAAGCTGGTTTGGTTTGTTGTTTAACGCCGCACATAGCAATATTCCAGCTCTATGGTGGTGTTCTATAAATAATCGAGCCTGGACCAGACAATCCAGTGTTCAACAGCATGACCACCCGATCCCATTAATCAACTCTTACAACACGCATGGTTTGCTAAAAACCAATCATCAGGTATATCTTACCTTGGTGGTACTAGATGTCAGTGTCAGGTATATCTTACCTTGGTGGTAGTAGATGTCTGTGTCAGCTATATCATACCTTGGTGGTAGTAGATGTCTGTGTCAGGTATATCATACCTTGGTGGTAGTAGATGTCAGTGTCAGGTATATCTTACCTTGGTGGTAGTAGATGTCTCTCTCAGGTATATCATACCTTGGTGGTAGCAAATGTCAGTGTCAGGTATATCTTACCTTGATGGTAGTAGATGTCAGTGTCAGGTATATCATACCTTGGTGGTAGTAGATGTGAGTGTCAGGTATATCATACCTTGGTGGTAGCAAATGTCAGTGTCAGGTATATCTTACCTTGATGGTAGTAGATGTCAGTGTAAGGTATATCATACCCTGATGGTAGTAGATGTCAGTGTCAGGTATATCTTACCTTAGTGGTAGTAGATGTCTGTGTCAGGTATATCATACCTTGGTGGTAGTAGATGTGAGTGTCAGGTATATCATACCTTGGTGGTAGCAAATGTCAGTGTCAGGTATATCTTACCTTGATGGTAGTAGATGTCAGTGTAAGGTATATCATACCTTGGTGGTAGTAGATGTGAGTGTTAGGTATATCTTACCTTGGTGGTAGTAGATGTCAGTGTCAGGTATATCATACCCTGATGGTAGTAGATGTCAGTGTCAGGTATATTTTACCTTGGTGGTAGTAGATGTCAGTGTCAGGTATATCTTACCTTGGTGGTAGTAGATGTCAGTGTCAGGTATATCTTACCTTGGTGGTAGTAGATGTCAGTGTCAGGTATATTTTACCTTAGTGGTAGTAGATGTCAGTGTCAGGTATATCTTACCTTGGTGGTAGTAGATATGAGTGTCAGGTATATCTTACCTTGGTGGTAGTAGATGTCTGTGTCAGGTATATCTTACCTTGGTGGTAGTAGATATGAGTGTCAGGTATATCTTACCTTGGTGGTAGTAGATGTCTGTGTCAGGTATATCTTACCTTGGTGGTAATAATAATAATAATAATAATCTACTTTTATAGCGCCGAGTTCCAGCTAGGCTGCTCACAGGCGCTTGTGCAGATAGTCTATTTCATTTCAAATAGATGTGTCTTTAAATGTTTTCGAAAAGTTGGTAGACTTGGGGCGGATTTTAGCGACATAGGGAGGTTGTTCCATAGCATGGGAGCTGCACATTCAAAGCAGCGGTCCCCGTATTTGGTCCTGGATGGTCTGGTGATAAGCAGATCTTTATCTTGTGATCTAAGAGTTCTTGTTGGTCTATGGTTGTTTAGAAGAGATGACAAGTAAGATGGAGCAGTGTTGGTCTTCAGGCACTTGTAGATAATGGTAAGCACCTTGAATTTTATGCGTCTGGCAACGGGTAGCCAATGCAGTTCTCTTAACCTGGGGGTGATGTGGTCTCTTCGAGGACAACGAGTTATTATCCTGGCGGCTGTGTTTTGTATAACCTGGAGTCGATGAACCAGGGAAGCTGTTATCCCAAACAAAAGTGAATTGGCATAGTCAAGGCGAGATATGACTGTTGCTTGAGTGAGAGTTTTGGTCGGTTTCATCTGAAAGATATCGTCTTAGTTTACCAATCTGATGAAGATGATAGTGAGAAGACTGGCACATTTGGGTGACCTGCTTGTTCATGGTCATGTGGGAGTCAAAAACAACTCCTAGATTCTTCACTTGGGAAGAGGCAGGCACATTCACAGGTCCAATATTGACTGAGAATTCTGTCATACGTTCCTGTAAGTGCTTTGGCCCAGCAATGAATACTTCCGTTTTGTTGTCATTTAGTTTGAGAAAGTTAATTCTCATCCAAGTTCTGATGTCACTGATGCAGCTTTCCAGCTTCGTTATCTTGTCTTGAAGTGATACAATCCTGGAGGCGATACAGCTCTGGGTGTCATCTGCAAAGCACTGAAAGTCAATGCAGTGGTTCCGGAAAACATCACCTAGTGGCAACATATAGATGGTAAACAAGAGTGGTCCAAGGACTGAACCCTGTGGAACGCCATATGATAACCACCTTTCTTCTGACACGGCCTCACCCGTAGTAGATGGTAGTAGATGTCTGTGTCAGGTATATCTTACCTTGGTGGTAGTAGATGTCAGTGTCAGGTATATCTTACCTTGGCGGTAGTAGATGTCAGTGTCCAGTGTACTGACCACTGTCAGTGTCTGTGGTAACTCACTGTAGAGGACACACTCTCCTGAGGCGGAATACGCCACAAACACACACCCTTCCTCTTGATGACACAGAACAGAACATTCTGCCCGACTGGGAACCGTCGTGTTCCTTACAACGTAATCTGTGGCGGTTTTGCCACTGAATACAAGGTTAAACACCTCGTCTACACAGATACTACTTCCCAGAGTACATATAAATACACAGTTCAGCATGACCAAAACAAAAAAGTTGACATTGATGGACATTATTGGAAACCAATTGCACTGTCACAGAGACTATCTGCGCCTTCTGATCACCAAACACTGAAACACTTTAACCTTGCTCCTTGTAAGAAATATCCATTCGTTGTGTAAATCATCTGACGAGTAGGAAACGCATAAATGAGCCGTGAAAAAAATTGACACTTGCCATTTAATTAATTAAATGTGAATTCTGCACGAATTGTGCATGGAATTACTTCACTGTAGCGGTGAGAAGTTGTGTGAAAATATACGTGAATGCATGACCGAAAGAAAAGGTACTTATAAAGAAGAAAAAATGAACCGTATGAACACACGTGCAAATGTACACTCGTCCGTTGTTAAAGATCCTATAGTTAAGCAAGTACAGCCTCTCTGGTCTTTCTTGCTGGGAGGTTGGGTAGCCAAGTGGTTAAAGCGTTCGCTCGTCATGTCGAAGATCTGTGTTCGAATGTGTTCAACATGTGTGAAGCTCATTTCTGCTGTCCCCCGCCGTGATATTGCTGGAATATTGCTAAAAGCGGCGTAAAACCGAACTCACTCACTCTTTGATGCTGATTTGTTAAGTATCTATGAACAAAACGTACTAATGAATACTTTCCTCTCCAAGGAACATTACGACTGGAAGTGTTGGAATTATTGTTATTCCAAAGACTTGCATACCGTATTGGTTTCGGTATGGGTTGTGCTGTGATCAGATGTAAAGGCAAGAGTACTGTCAGGAAATAGTCACTCCATGGCCGTGTTATCACTACCGACTAATGATCATGAGTGAGTGTGTGAGTTTAGTTTTACGCCGCACACACTATATGGCGGGGGTCTGTAAATAATCGAGTCTGGACCAGACAATCCAGTGTTCAACAGCATGAGCTTCGATCTACGCAATTTGGATACGATGATACGTGTCAACCAAGTCAGCGAGTATGACCACACGATCCCGTTAATCGTCGTGTTGACCCTTTAGTGTGAATGTAAATATCAAGTGCGTTCACGTGTGAACCCTTTAGTATGAAAGTAAGTGTCAATGTGTTCACGTGTAGACCCTTTAGTATTAAAGCAAGTGTCAATGTGTTCAGGTGTAGACCCTTTAGTATGAAAGTAAGCATCGATGTGTTCACGTGTAGACCCTTTAGTATGAAAGTAAGTGTCAGTGTGTTCACGTGTAGACCCTTTAGTATTAAAGCAAGTGTCAATGTGTTCAGGTGTAGACCCTTTAGTATGAAAGTAAGCATCGATGTGTTCACGTGTAGACCCTTTAGTATGAAAGTAAGTGTCAATGTGTTCACGTGTAGACCCTTTAGTATGAAAGTAAGTGTCAATGTGTTCACGTGTAGACCCTTTAGTATGAAAGTAAGTGTCAATGTGTTCAGGTGTAGACCCTTTAGTATTATAGTTAGTGTCAATGCGTTCACTTGTAGACCCTTTAGTATGAAAGTAAGTGTCAATGTGTTCAGGTGTAGACCCTTTAGTGGGATACTTAGTGAAACTCTGCATTGAACGGTGTTTCATTCGTGTTTCATTCAAAAGGAAGGAACCGAAAATGTGACCTGGATGTTTACGACATTGAGAAATTACATGGTGTTGATATAACAAGGCTCGTCTGGGATTCGAACCATAGATTGACGGAAGGTTCTGCTGCACTTGACTATCCCAACCTTTGTCAACAATAAATTGCCTTGTCTAAGTCATCTCCTGACTACACTCTGCAGACAAAGGGTGAACACAATTCCCTTGGTGCGGTGATCCTGTGCATTATCAGCAAGATGATCGCCACACAATAGCTACCTCAACCATGACACAATACCTAAGACATCTGCAGTTCGCACGTGTTGTCTGAGAGGATTTCACATAAGATTACTTTGTAAACACTGTTGAAGAAAGAATATGTTGGCGTCGTGACTATAAACTTTAAAATGTAATGTTCTTCGCTGTTAACAAACCGAAACGGATCATCTTCATCAGCACCTGCATCTATGTTTACATTGTATCTACTCATACAACCGTAGAAGGTATTTACTTGCGGAGACGCACTTAAGACTGTCAGAACGTGCAGCGTTTCAGACAAAGCGATGAAAAGTGGCGTCGTAGAAACAGGTTTTATTAATAAAATGTGTGCGTATGGTTTTACGCCGCTTTACATACATACGCCAGAATAGTAGTCTATGGTGAGAGGGTTTACTTTTACGCCGCACTCAGCAATATTCCGGCTATACGGCGGCGGACCACACCATCCAGCGATCAACATCATGAGCATCTGTCTACACAACTGGGACACGATGACATGTGTCTACCAAGTGGGAATGGAAATGTGGAGGGGGAAGTGGTGAGGAATCGGGATAAGTCCCCACAAAAAGAAAACTGACAAATGTCACGCCGTGAAATTTAATAAAGACGTCGGCAGTGGAGGTGCTACGTGTCACGTGATTTTGGAATTATTTTTATGTTTTTGCTTATTGAAATGTCATTAAGATTGTAGCTTAAAAAGTCACAAGCAGTCTTTGCTTATGCCTTAAAATTTTAAGTTCTAGCCCTGAACCCACTCAGCTGCAATTACTAGAAACTGTGTTGTTTGATTGCTTGTTGTTTAACTCCGCACTCAGCAATATTCCAGATATATGGTGGCGGTCTGTAAATAATCGAGTCTGGACCAGACAATCCAGTGATCAACAACATGAGCATCGATCTACGCAACTGGGATACGATGATATGTGTCAACCTAGTCAGTGAGTCTGACCACCCGATCCTGTAAATCGCCTCTTACGACAAGCATGGGTTACTGAAGACCAATTCTAACCTTCACGGGAATAGATGTAATTTGTCACACTGCATTGATGCAATATGTGTTCATGTTCAATTAGTGTCGGGGTAGTGGCAAATCTATTGCATGACGTTTGTGACGTTAATGAGCACAATGCCATACAGGTGGTGAGTGAGTGAGGTTTATGCCGCTTTAGCAATATTCCAGCAATATCACAGTAGGAGAAGCCAGAAATGGGCTTCACACATTAACCTGATGTGGAATTCGAACCCGGGTCTTCGGTGTGACGAACGAACGCTTAACCACTAGGCTACCCCACCGCCCCTGATACAATGAACGTGGTGTAATGGCTGTCCACTACAAGTTAACAGGTCCTTTGGTACCACAAAAATACAATTATCTACTTCTACGCTTTCATTTCCAGGTCCTAAATCATGGTCAAGTGGACAGCGTGTCTGTCCGGACAGCTGGTAGTCCGTGGTTCGATCCCCAACAGCATCACACAAAATGACATAACGGGATGTCACTTTTGTTAACTGCCGGACCCTCAGCATTTAGGAATACAAGAACAGGTAAGCTCGGAGGTGGTATACAGTGTCCAGGTGGTGTATCCGTGTAAAACTGATCCCTGGCTGGTCAGCTCGGAGGTAGTATATATAGTGTCCAGGTGGTGTATCCCTGGCTGGTCACCTCGGAGGTGGTATATAGTGTCCAGGTGGTGTATCCATGTTAAACTAATCCCTGGCTGGTCAGCTCGGAGGTAGTATATAGTCTCCAGGTGGTGTATCCATGTTAACCTGATCCCTGGCTGGTCAGCTCGGAGGTTGTATATAGTGTCCAGGTGGTGTATCCATGTTAAACTGATCCCTGGCTGGTCAGCTGGGAGGTAGTATATAATGTCCAGGTGGTTTACCCGGGCTGGTCACCTCGGAGGAAGTATATAATGTCCAGGTGGTGTATCCATGTTAAACTGATCCCTGGCTGGTCACTTCGGAGGTAGTATATAATGTCCAGGTGGTGTATCCCTGGCTGGTCACCTCGGAGGTAGTATATAGTGTCCAGGTGGTGTATCCATGTTAAACTGATCCCTGGCTGGTCACCTCGGAGGGAGTATACAATGTCCAGGTGGTGTATCCATGTTAAACTGATTCCTGGCTGGTCACCTCGGAGGTAGTATATAGTGTCCAGGTGGTGTATCCATGTTAAACTGATCCCTGGCTGGTCACCTCGGAGGTAGTATATAGTGTCCAGGTGGTGTATCCATGTTAAACTGATCCCTGGCTAGTCAGCTCGGAGGTTGTATATAGTGTTCAGGTGGTGTATCCATGTTAAACTGATCCCTGGCTGGTCACCTCGGAGGTAGTATATAATGTCCAGGTGGTGTATCCATGTTAAACTGATCCCTGGCTGGTCACCTCGGAGGTAGTATATATAGTGTCCAGGTGGTGTATCCCTGACTGGTCACCTCGGAGGTAGTATATAATGTCCAGGTGGTGTATCCATGTTAAACTGATCGCTGGCTGGTCACCTCGGAGGTGGTATATAATGTCCAGGTGATGTATCCATGTTAAACTGATCCCTGGCTGGTCATCTCGGAGGTGGTATATAATGTCCAGGTGATGTATCCATGTTAAACTGATCCCTGGCTGGTCATCTCGGAGGTAGTATATAATGTCCAGGTGGTGTATCCATGTTAAACTGATCCCTGGCTGGTCACCTCGGAGGTAGTATATAATGTCCAGGTGATGTATCCATGTTAAACTGATCCCTGGCTGGTCATCTCGGAGGTGGTATATAATGTCCAGGTGATGTATCCATGTTAAACTGATCCCTGGCTGGTCAGCTCGGAGGTAGTATATAATGTCCAGGTGGTGTATCCATGTTAAACTGATCCCTGGCTGGTCACCTCGGAGGTAGTATATAATGTCCAGGTGGTGTATCCCGGGCTGGTCACCTCGGAGGAAGTATATAATGTCCAGGTGGTGTATCCATGTTAAACTGATCCCTGGCTGGTCACCTCGGAGGTGGTATATAATGTCCAGGTGATGTATCCATGTTAAACTGATCCCTGGTTGGTCACCTCGGAGGTAGTATATAATGTCCAGGTGGTGTATCCCTGGCTGGTCACCTCGGAGGTAGTATATAGTGTCCAGGTGGTGTATCCATGTTAAACTGATCCCTGGCTGGTCACCTCGGAGGTAGTATATAGTGTCCAGGTGGTGTATCCATGTTAAACTGATCCCTGGCTGGTTACCTCGGAGGAGTATATAGTGTCCAGGTGGTGTATCCATGTTAAACTGATTCCTGGCTGGTCACCTCGGAGGTAGTATATAGTGTCCAGGTGGTGTATACATGTTAAACTGATCCCTGGCTGGTTACCTCGGAGGTAGTATATAGTGTCCAGGTGGTGTATCCATGTTAAACTGATCCCTGGCTGGTCACCTCGGAGGTAGTATATAATGTCCAGGTGGTGTATCCATGTTAAACTGATCCCTCGCTGGTCACCTCGAAGGTAGTATATAATGTCCAGGTGGTGTATCCATGTTAAACTGATCCCTGGCTGGTCACCTCGGAGGTAGTATATATAGTGTCCTGGTGGTGTATCCCTGGCTGGTCACCCCAGAGGTAGTATATAATGTCCAGGTGGTGTATCCATGTTAAACTGATCCCTGGCTGGTCACCTCTGAGGTAGTATATAGTGTCCAGGTTGTGTATCCATGTTAAACTGATGCTTGGCTGGTCAGCTCGGAGGTAGTATATAGTGTCCAGGTGGTGTATCCATGTTAAACTGATCCCTGGCTGGTCACCTCGGAGGTAGTATATAGTGTCCAGGTGGTGTATCCATGTTAAACTGATCCCTGGCTGGTCACCTCGGAGGTGGTATATAGTGTCCAGGTGGTGTATCCATGTTAAACTGAGGCCTGGCTGGTCACCTCGGAGGTAGTATATATAGTGTCCAGGTGGTGTATCCCTGGCTGGTCAGCTCGGAGGTTGTATATAATATCCAGGTGGTGTATCCATGTTAAACTGATCCCTGGCTGGTCACCTCGGAGGTAGTATATAGTGTCCAGGTGGTGTATCCATGTTAAACTGAGGCCTGGCTGGTCAGCTCGGAGGTAGTATATAGTGTCCAGGTGGTGTATCCGTGTAAAACTGATCCCTGGCTGGTCAGCTCGGAGGTAGTATATAATGTCCAGGTGGTGTATCCATGTTAAACTGAGGCCTGGCTTGTCAGCTCGGAGGTAGTATATAGTGTCCAGGTGGTGTATCCATGTTAACCTGATCCCTGGCTGGTAGTTGGGACGAGTACTGATACATAAAAGATACTTAAAGGCATCCACAATATAACATTATCTGCAATTAATCATGGGATCACAACGAACTTGGAAACTTAACACACGTTTTACTTTTGAAAATAAAACATACAATTTCTAAGCAATCCATATGACCGGAAGAAAGCCACTACCTGTTTGTGGACAGTGAATGTACAAGGAATGTTCCCTTGTAGATCTTGAGTTGACAAACGACGTGCATACAAGGTTTGGTCTTAGGCTTCTGAAAGTGACTCTTTTTCATACCGACATTGAAAGCCGTAGAGTAAGCCAGTTGTCTTGAAAATATACTGAACAGCAAAAGAAACGCAAGTCTGGCATTTTGCCAAGTTTATGAATAGAAGACAACCAAAATCATGTCGCATCATTTATTCTATAGACAACACTGTCAATTTAACAGCTGAAAGTTGCTGTTGACATTGAATTGCAATAAGTTCAAATTGATCACAGTCCGTCAAGTGGAGATACCCCTGAACGCGAAAAGTGACAGTCTCTTTAGTCGCGTGTATGGCCACCTTGAGCTTGCACATAGGCCCTGCAACGTGGCCTCATTGAGTTCATTAGAGTCTGAAAGAATGCCTGAGGCAATTGGTTCCGCTCAAACACCAATCTCTATTCCAATTGTGCAAGTGTGAGTGGCTGTCTTCCTGCACCAATACTCCGTCCAATTTCGTCCCAGAATGTTCAATGGGAGCCATATACGGGGAAAAAGACAGCCATGGAAAAAGGTTAATGTTGTTTTGAGCCAGATAATCCATCGACACCCTTGCTGTGTGAGGGCTGCAAACGTCGCTGGCGTTGTTTGCCTGTTAAAATTGGCCCCACATATGGCCTTCGGCAGTGGATTCCAGCAGCCCGAAGACGACGCCTAATGGTATCGCTGGACACTGCTCCCCTTGACCCGAGAACTAAGGCTGCTGTTACTGTTGGTGTTTGATTTCGGTTCCTTAGATGAGTAACCCGGATGAACCGATCTTGCGCATGAGATGTCACTCGTTGCCGTCCGGTACGGGGACGATCAGTAGCAACCCCGGTTTGCTGATGACTTTGAGCAAGTCGTGTAATGGTGGAAAGATGACAGCCCAATTGTCTAGCTACAACGATTGCAGAGCTACCTCAGTGCAACTTTCCAATGGCCATGCCTCACTGCTCACTCGTTAGTCTAGGCATCGTATGTGTTGCTTGTACATCTTCTAGTGTCAATACTGAACTGTTTTTTGACACAAACCTTTATAAAGGATACCTCAGAGTGAAATGCATGCTTTTCATCCAGAATCGTCGATGCATGTGCTAAAATTATGGTTTTGCTGCACTGTTGGTGTGTTTGTGCGAATGGTCTGTATGGACGTCAAATTGCATGACATCATCTCATCTTGGATCATTACGTCACTTTAACATGAACGTTCCATAAACGAACGCTTACCTTCATGAGGTTTCATTTTTTCGAAACTTGCGTTTCTTTTGTTGTTCAGTATAGTTCCTCCAGACTGCAGATACAGTGCATGTATAGTTCTCTGTATTAACACCTCTTTTGTAGTTCGACTGCAAACGATAAGTTTACGCTCTATTTTCATTAGAAGGGAAATGTATGTTAAGGACATCCTGACCCGTGAAGGTCCGGGTTAGAATTGATCTTCAGTAACCCATGCTTGTCGTAAGTGGCGACTAACGGGATAAGGTGGTCACGCTCGCTGACTTGGTTTCACATGTCATCGTATCCCAATTGTGTAGATCGATGCTCATGCAGTTGATCACTGGATTCCCCGGTCCCGACTCGATTATTTACAGATCGCCGTCATACAGCTGGAATATTGCTGAGTGCGGCGTATAACTAAACTCACTCACTCACTCACTAAGAACATCCTGCTATCAGACACCAGACTACTAGCCTGACAAGACAGACCAGCTGGCTCGCATACTCACAAGCAAATAGTTCTGAGGTAGAACTATACCCTCTGAAGCCATGTAGCCTGGTATTTTGTTTGCCTAAAGTGCCATGAATGAAATAGTTCAATTGTACAAAATTGACCTTATCAACCGGTGACATAGGGTAAATCCAACTGTAAAATATTTTGTTTATGTTTCAAAACAAACCGAAAGAAAACGGAAACCAAACTGCATCTTTAAATTTGTGACAGTGACAGCGCGTAGTAATACATTAGGTCATTCACAGGACGCCAACATGGCCGACACAATAAACGTCTCTGGAATGGTTTCTGAGGTTGCCAATAAACATATGTCAATTAGGTGTGAGTATGTCATAGGGAACTCATTATAAAGTAAACACAAAGGTTGTTTCGAATATATCGTGATATATATTGATAGATTGTTGAGAATGTTGAGGACTCTTAGTCGAGACCAGTTTTTGCGAACGCGTAACCAGTCTGTCATATAATTGAAAAGCGCGTAAAATATTAAACAATATTTCTGATATAAATATATTCTTTTCTGCTAATTAAGGAGCTGGTGCAAATGACGCTGAGAGAAAATAAAAACAGAAAGTAAGCAATACGATAACAATACGAAATATATCAAGAAATCATCACCCCTTTCGCCGTATGTAATGCCTTGACAGTTGTGGGATGAGGACAGAACAGACACTCAGTAAGAAATATATCAATGTCAGACACAGTGAACAGTTCGTGTGATTTCTGGGTCTCCATGACTCTCCCGTTTGTTCAAATTATCAGCGTACAAATCTGGCATTGCATGTCGGGAAATCTTGTCTACTTCCGATAAGGATCGGGTATTCCTACAAGCTTAACAGCGTCTATCTCCACAGCTGCTCCAGTGTAATAAGGATCCACATACACCCGGATGGTGTCAGACGAAAATCCCAGCATCTAAAAGATCAAGTATTGTTTATGAGAACGAAAAAAAGACCAATATTTCCGGGACTGGACAGGGATTTTGTTTCTTAGTGCACTCAGCACTACGGCGGCGGTCTGTAAATAATCAATAGTGTCAAAAGACAATATGACTTTTAATTGAATGGAAACTTTTCAGGGAAGACATAATCAGCAAAATGAAAACGTGAATGTGGTTTTGAGAGCATGAAGTGCCGTTGTACAGCAATGTCTCGTGTTACTACAAGAGATCATTTAAATAACTTCAAAGATGGATTTTGTTTGTTTGTTTGTTTGTTTGTTTACGCCGCACTCGGCAATACTCCAGCTATATGGCAGAGGTCTGTAAACAGACCAGACAATCCAGTGATCAACATCATGGGCATCGATCTACGCAGTTGCGATACGTTAACATGTGTGAACCAAGTCAGCGAGCCTGACCACCCGATCCCGTTATTGCCTCTTATAAACATGGGTTGCTGAGGACCAGCTGTAACCCGGATCTTCACGGGTTGGCTGACGGGTCTTATTCTGACAGTTGACTGGGGTTAGTAAGTGACCGACCAGACTTGTCTTCAAATTGTCATGGGTTTTCTCAAAATTCCAGTGTGAAATGGCTGATAATAAATAGCACAACATCTGAAGCCAATTTCTGTGTCCCCCGTCGTGATATTGTTGGAATATTGCTTAAAGCGGCGTAAAACTGAACTCACTCACTCACTCGTTTGGATTTCAGAAGTTACCTAGCTGCCATGACTACAGGGTACATGTTTTGCAGTTGCACAGCGGTGAAGATCCGGTCAGAAATGATCTTCAGTCATCCATGCTTGCCGTTAGAGGCCATGATCCCGTAAGGTGACAATTCTAACACATACTATCCTCTCCAACTGCACAGGGCGATGTTCATGATGCCACACCACTGTAGTGGTAGAGGCGATTATTTACAGTGGTTTGAGAGCAGGGGCAAGATGAACGATCTATGCACAATTGGGAACAGGGGGTCCGGTGTTAAACAAAGACAACGTCACATGCTACATAACTATTTCATGTTTTTTTTAATGAAAATTACAAGAAAAAAGATAGATTTTCTTACGTTGTCGAGAACTCTTTTAAAGATTCGGGCTGACGTGTAATGAAATGTATCTCTCGAGTTATAGATCGTCAGATATCCTCCAAAGGGTTTTATGACTTCCAGCCTCCACGTTGCGCCTGCGCGGTACGTCTCATATACGTGCACTTCCGTTATGTAGAGCCACATGGCGAACTTCAACTGTAGACACGAACGACGGATTTGATTGTAACAGTCTTGACACGGTTTCACATTAACAAGTTCAAATTACAGTTTAGAGATCTCATAATAAAACGATCATATCTTCATTCAATCAGATAATAAATAAATAAATCAGTAAATCAATAAATCAATACATCAGCCAGCCAGCCAGCCAGCCAGCCAGTCAGACAGACAGACAGACAGACTGACAATCAATCAACCAATCAATCGATCGATCGATCGATCAATCAGTCACAGATGCTGTTGGGAGGTCCACTAACCACAATATACTGGTCCCTTCGCCAAAAGGATAGACTGGTCTGTCCCCAGGCTTTAACGCTGTGGCCGTATGCGGGGTACACGTCAGGCTCTCCGATCACTTGGCTGGCGGCGCTGAGAAACATAAAGTGTTATCTGAATCAAAACTAAAATAAGTGGTCCTGTAGCTCACCTTTATGATGGTACATTACAGGTACTTTTACTCGTGAAGACCCCGCTTTAGGATCGGCCTTCAGCAAACCCATACTTGTCGTAAGAGGCGACTAACGGGATCAGGTGGTCATGTCATCGTATCCAATTGCGTAGATCGATACTCATGATGTTAATCACTGGGTTATCTGGTCCAGACTCGATTATTAACAGACTGCCGCCATATGGCGGGAATGTTGCTGACTGCGGCGTAAAACTCACTCACTCACTCCGGATATCCTACCATAAGAAAATGACAAACTGTTTCAAAACATATCCGGAAACCGGAAAACAAAACCACACGTTGGTCACTAGAAGCAGGGAGACTATATAACGGGGAGTGGTCACTCCTCGGAAAGCCCCTAAGCTATGCCTCGGCTCGTCACGTGACCAGTGTAACCAATATGGCGGCAGTGTAGTTTTTAAGATCGAGCCCGGTTTATTTTCAACAGCTGATTACATACGCTGAGTGTTGTGACAACTGAAAACCTACATGTAGAAGATAAGTTACCTATTCTGTCACTTCATTTTAAGTCAAATAATTGTTATTGGTGTCAGTATTAGTACAGTAGATGTGTAGTAAAGTTTCAAGTCGGCATGTTGTAGCTCACTGCCTTCAGTTCTCAGTACACAGCGAAGAAAGACTAAATTCTATCGCTAAAAACTTCTTTCACATATTCGTTTAATTTTTAGAAGGGAAATATGCCTTTAGTTGAAAGGTGTTTGCAAGTAATAGTGATAGTTTTATAACTAAAAACATTTGTTAGG